CATGTTTCATAGCAACAACACAAATATCACCATAGAGATACGGGACACATATCATGTTTCATAGCAACAACACAAATATCACCATAGAGATATGGGGCATGTGCCATGTTTTCATAGCTACAACACAAATATCACCATAGAGATATGGGGCACATGCCTTGTTTCATAGCTACACAACAATATCACCATAGAGATATGGGGCATGTGCCATGTTTCAAAGCTACAACACAATATCACCATAGAGATATGGGACACATGTCATGTTTCATAGCAACAACACAAATATCACCATAGAGATATGGGGCATGTGCCATGTTTCAAAGCTACAACACAAATATCACCATAGAGATATGGGGCATGTGCCATGTTTCAAAGCTACAACACAAATATCACCATAGAGATATGGGGCATGTGCCATGTTTCAAAGCTACAACACAAATATCACCATAGAGATATGGGGCACATGCCTTGTTTCATAGCTACAACACAAGTATCACCATAGAGATATGGGGCATGTGCCATGTTTCATAGCTACAACACAAGTATCACCATAGAGATATGGGACACATGTCATGCTTCATAGCTACAACACAAACACACACATATAGATATGTGGCACCTGCCATGTTTCATAGCTACAACACAAATATCACCATAGAGATATGGGGCACCTGCCATGCTTCATAGCTACAACACAAACACACACATATAGATATGTGGCACCTGCCATGTTTCATAGCTACAACACAAATATCACCATAGAGATATGGGGCACCTGCCATGCTTCATAGCTACAACACCAACACACACATATAGATATGTAGCACCTGCCATGCTTCATAGCTACAACACAAACACACACATATAGATATGTGGCACCTGCCATGTTTCATAGCAACAACACAAATATCACCATAGAGATACGGGACACATATCATGTTTCATAGCAACAACACAAATATCACCATAGAGATATGGGGCATGTGCCATGTTTCATAGCTACAACACAAATATCACCATAGAGATATGGGGCACATGCCTTGTTTCATAGCTACACAACAATATCACCATAGAGATATGGGGCATGTGCCATGTTTCAAAGCTACAACACAATATCACCATAGAGATATGGGACACATGTCATGTTTCATAGCAACAACACAAATATCACCATAGAGATATGGGGCATGTGCCATGTTTCAAAGCTACAACACAAATATCACCATAGAGATATGGGGCATGTGCCATGTTTCAAAGCTACAACACAAATATCACCATAGAGATATGGGGCATGTGCCATGTTTCAAAGCTACAACACAAATATCACCATAGAGATATGGGGCACATGCCTTGTTTCATAGCTACAACACAAGTATCACCATAGAGATATGGGGCATGTGCCATGTTTTACAGCAACAACACAAGTATCACCATAGAGATATGGGGCATGTGCCATGTTTTACAGCTACAACACAAATATCACCATAGAGATATGGGGCATGTGCCATGTTTTATAGCAACAACACAAATATCACCATAGAGATATGGGGCACATGTCTTGTTTCAAAGCTACAACACAAATATCACCATAGAGATATGGGGCATGTGCCATGTTTTATAGCAACAACACAAATATCACCATAGAGATATGTGGCACCTGCCATGTTTCATAGCAACAACACAAATATCACCATAGAGATATGAGGCATGTGCCATGCTTCATAGCTACAACACAAATATCACCATAGAGATATGGGGCACCTGCCATGTTTCATAGCAACAACACAAATATCACCATAGAGATATGGGACACATGTCATGTTTCATAGCAACAACACAAATATCACCATAGAGATATGAGGCATGTGCCATGCTTCATAGCTACAACACAAATATCACCATAGAGATATGGGGCACATGCCATGTTTCATAGCTACAACACAAGTATCACCATAGAGATATGGGACACATGTCATGCTTCATAGCTACAACACAAACACACACATATAGATATGTGGCACCTGCCATGTTTCATAGCTACAACACAAATATCACCATAGAGATATGGGGCACCTGCCATGCTTCATAGCTACAACACAAACACACACATATAGATATGTGGCACCTGCCATGCTTCATAGCTACAACACAAACACACACATATAGATATGTGGCACCTGCCATGTTTCATAGCAACAACACAAATATCACCATAGAGATACGGGACACATATCATGTTTCATAGCAACAACACAAATATCACCATAGAGATATGGGGCATGTGCCATGTTTCATAGCTACAACACAAATATCACCATAGAGATATGGGGCACATGCCTTGTTTCATAGCTACACAACAATATCACCATAGAGATATGGGGCATGTGCCATGTTTCAAAGCTACAACACAATATCACCATAGAGATATGGGACACATGTCATGTTTCATAGCAACAACACAAGTATCACCATAGAGATATGGGACACATGTCATGCTTCATAGCTACAACACACAACACACACATATAGATATGTGGCACCTGCCATGTTTCATAGCTACAACACAAATATCACCATAGAGATATGGGGCACCTGCCATGCTTCATAGCTACAACACAAACACACACATATAGATATGTGGCACCTGCCATGTTTCATAGCTACAACACAAATATCACCATAGAGATATGGGGCACCTGCCATGCTTCATAGCTACAACACCAACACACACATATAGATATGTAGCACCTGCCATGCTTCATAGCTACAACACAAACACACACATATAGATATGTGGCACCTGCCATGTTTCATAGCAACAACACAAATATCACCATAGAGATATGAGGCATGTGCCATGCTTCATAGCTACAACACAAATATCACCATAGAGATATGGGGCACCTGCCATGTTTCATAGCAACAACACAAATATCACCATAGAGATATGGGACACATGTCATGTTTCATAGCAACAACACAAATATCACCATAGAGATATGAGGCATGTGCCATGCTTCATAGCTACAACACAAATATCACCATAGAGATATGGGGCACATGCCATGTTTCATAGCTACAACACAAGTATCACCATAGAGATATGGGACACATGTCATGCTTCATAGCTACAACACAAACACACACATATAGAGATATGTGGCACCTGCCATGTTTCATAGCTACAACACAAATATCACCATAGAGATATGGGGCACCTGCCATGCTTCATAGCTACAACACAAACACACACATATAGATATGTGGCACCTGCCATGTTTCATAGCTACAACACAAATATCACCATAGAGATATGGGGCACCTGCCATGCTTCATAGCTACAACACAAACACACACATATAGATATGTGGCACCTGCCATGCTTCATAGCTACAACACAAACACACACATATAGATATGTGGCACCTGCCATGTTTCATAGCAACAACACAAATATCACCATAGAGATACGGGACACATATCATGTTTCATAGCAACAACACAAATATCACCATAGAGATATGGGGCATGTGCCATGTTTCATAGCTACAACACAAATATCACCATAGAGATATGGGGCACATGCCTTGTTTCATAGCTACACAACAATATCACCATAGAGATATGGGGCATGTGCCATGTTTCAAAGCTACAACACAATATCACCATAGAGATATGGGACACATGTCATGTTTCATAGCAACAACACAAGTATCACCATAGAGATATGGGACACATGTCATGCTTCATAGCTACAACACAAACACACACATATAGATATGTGGCACCTGCCATGTTTCATAGCTACAACACAAATATCACCATAGAGATATGGGGCACCTGCCATGCTTCATAGCTACAACACAAACACACACATATAGATATGTGGCACCTGCCATGTTTCATAGCTACAACACAAATATCACCATATAGAGATATGGGGCACCTGCCATGCTTCATAGCTACAACACCAACACACACATATAGATATGTAGCACCTGCCATGCTTCATAGCTACAACACAAACACACACATATAGATATGTGGCACCTGCCATGTTTCATAGCAACAACACAAATATCACCATAGAGATCACGGGACACATATCATGTTTCATAGCAACAACACAAATATCACCATAGAGATATGGGGCATGTGCCATGTTTCATAGCTACAACACAAATATCACCATAGAGATATGGGGCACATGCCTTGTTTCATAGCTACACAACAATATCACCATAGAGATATGGGGCATGTGCCATGTTTCAAAGCTACAACACAATATCACCATAGAGATATGGGACACATGTCATGTTTCATAGCAACAACACAAATATCACCATAGAGATATGGGGCATGTGCCATGTTTCAAAGCTACAACACAAATATCACCATAGAGATATGGGGCATGTGCCATGTTTCAAAGCTACAACACAAATATCACCATAGAGATATGGGGCATGTGCCATGTTTCAAAGCTACAACACAAATATCACCATAGAGATATGGGGCACATGCCTTGTTTCATAGCTACAACACAAGTATCACCATAGAGATATGGGGCATGTGCCATGTTTTACAGCAACAACACAAGTATCACCATAGAGATATGGGGCATGTGCCATGTTTTACAGCTACAACACAAATATCACCATAGAGATATGGGGCATGTGCCATGTTTTATAGCAACAACACAAATATCACCATAGAGATATGGGGCACATGTCTTGTTTCAAAGCTACAACACAAATATCACCATAGAGATATGGGGCATGTGCCATGTTTTATAGCAACAACACAAATATCACCATAGAGATATGGGGCACCTGCCATGTTTCATAGCTACAACACAAACACCATACAAATATGGGGCACCTGCCACATTTCATAGCTACAACACAAACATACATAGAGACATGGGGCACAAATTGTCATAGTGCACAGGATGCCCTAGGACAACAGCATCAGTGATTATTTGAAAATAATTGGTATCTTACTTCGTCTGCACTCTGCTCCATAGTCACTGCCCACACAACGCAATCCTCTGCCGCACATGACACCCTGAAGACACAAGAACAGTCAGGTGAAAAGTGTCCAGGTGTTCCACATGGTGAATTGTGTCCAGGTGTTCAGTGTGGTGAAATGTGTCCAGGTGTTCCATATGGTGAAATGTGTCCAGGTGTTCAGTGTGGTGAAATGTGTCCAGGTGTTCCATATGGTGAAATGTGTCCAGGTGTTCAGTGTGGTGAAATGTGTCCAGGTGTTCAGTGTGGTGAAATGTGTCCAGTGTGGTGACATGTGTCCAGGTGTTAAGTGTGGTGACATGTGTCCAGGTGTTCAGTGTGGTGAAATGTGTCCAGGTGTTCAGTAAGGTGAAATGTATCCAGGTGTTCAGTAAGATGAAATGTGCCCAGGTGTTGGGTGTGATGAAATGTGTCCAGGTGTTCAGTTGTGGTGCAATGTGTCCAGGTGTACCATATGGTGAAATGTGTCCAGTGTTCCGTGTTGTGAAACGTGTCCAGGTGTTCAGTGTCGTGAAATGTGTCCAGGTGTACAGTGTTGTGAAATTTCGACCAGGTGTTCAGTTGTGGTGCAATGTGTCCAGGTGTACCATATTTTGAACTGTGTCCATGTGTTCCGGGTGGTGAAATGTGTCCAGGTGTTCAGTGTGGTGAAATGTGTCCAGGTGTTCAGTGTGGTGAAATGTGTCCAGGTGTTCAGTGTGGTGAAATGTGTCCAGGTGTGTTCAGTGTGGTGAAATGTGTCCAGGTGTTCAGTGTGGTGAAATGTGTCCAGGTGTTCAGTGTGGTGAAATGTGTCCAGGTGTTCAGTGTGGTGAAATGTGTCCAGGTGTTCAGTGTCGTGAAATTAGTCCAGGTGTTCAGTGTGGTGAAATGTGTCCAGGTGTTCAGTGTCGTGAAATGTGTCCAGGTGTCCAGTGTGGTGAAATGTGTCCAGTGTGGTGAAATGTGTCCAGGTGTCCAGTGTGGTGAAATGTGTCCAGGTGTTCAGTGTCGTGAAATGTGTCCAGGTGTCCAGTGTGGTGAAATGTGTCCAGGTGTTCAGTATGGTGAATAATGATCATGAGGTATTGATACATAATCATACATGTGTATAGTATTGCTCACACGATTACTGAAACAAACCGATTGTGAAAAAATAGTTTTCATAGAAGATATGATGACGAGTCAAATGCTCTCATTTAATTTCAAGAAGTCTTCGCATTGTTAATTTCATGAGTGTATTGAAGCTACTAACATTGGACCCGAAGGGCCAAAAAGTGTCAAGAGGTTGAGCATCTTTTATGGACTAGAGACTGTACAGACTGTACTGAAGTTACTTACATCACAGGGCTTCCTACATTCGCATACAAAACATCCTCTCATATCCTTCCTTAATCCATGAGGACAGTCAAGAGAACATGTTGTGTTCTCACACTCAGAGTGGGTACCTGGTGGATAGAATAAGAAACATTAGTTAGAGCATAGTGTTAAAACAGGCAATAAAGTCCAGGGTCATTATGGGCAAAACAGCACTGGGTCAACAAACGCAATACAGCACTGGGTCAACAAAGTCAATACAGCATTGGATCAACAAAGGCAATACAGCACTGGGGCAACAAGCGCAAAACAGCACTGGGGCAACAAAGGCAATACAGCACTGGGGCAACAAACGCAATACAGCACTGGGTCAACAAACGCAATACAGCACTGGGTCAACAAAGTCAATACAGCATTGGATCAACAAACGCAATACAGCACTGGGGCAACAAGCGCAAAACAGCACTGGGGCAACAAAGGCAATACAGCACTGGGGCAACAAACGCAATACAGCACTGGGTCAACAAAGGCAATACAGCACTGGGTCAACAAAGGCAATACAGCACTGGGTCAACACAGGCAATACTGCATTTGGCCTTTATAGGCTACTAAAATAGGGTCAACACAAGCAATACAAGATAGGGCCAACAAGGGGTCAACACAGGCAATACTGCATTCAGCCTTTATAGGCTACTAAGATAGGGTCAACACATGCAATACAAGATAGGGCCAACAAGGGGTCAACACTGGCAATGAGACATAAACAATTGGAAAACCAAACAGAGAGAGTGACCAAAGCAGTCAAACCTACCATCACACCGCGGATAGTCAGGAGCCATGGTGTGTGTCCCAGGGACCACTCTACCTGCACGGTTGTAGCAGTAGCAAGCATGTCTCTCCCCTGAGTCCAGGAAGTATTCACACTGTCAACAAAACAATTTTACTTCATTGTCAACACAAACATTGCTTTACTGTCAACACAACAGCCATATTTTACTGTCCACATAACAACCCATACATAACTTTTAGGGTCATTGAGTTATGTACTTGCTTGTGGTCATCTCAATCCACATTTTCCTTTGAGTAACCAAATAAATTGTACACACCTCACTCAAACTCAATTGGGTATTTTGCCATTATCCATTAATTGTGAAAAGATAATAAAGTTATATTGGTCTTTGTTATTTGTATTTGATCTGTAATATGAGAAACGGTAAGAAGAACAGCAAGTTGCCAAGTTCATGTGTTGAAATAGAACCTCTCAATATACCTCAGGTAGTTTATCTATCTACCGGTACGCAAGCTAAGATTGGACATTTTTGTATGTACGCATGTAAGATCAAATTTATTGAGTATTTGCAAAAAATCAAGCGTACCTGTATGCAATAGACTTAATAGGAATTGAGTTTTCACATAAATATTTGCGTAATTTACACCGATATGCAGCTTATCAGTATCTCTGCTTTCCTGTCAACATAACAACCATTCTTTATTGTAAACACATCAGCAATACTTTACTTCTTTCTGCACACTCTAAATTGAAAATTTAGCCAAATTTAGCCAAGTAGAATTTAGAATGGTTATTGATAGATATGAAATACATTTTTAAACTTATCCTATCTCACGAATTGCACCTCTCTCTCTCTTGCTTAGACTTTTAGTGGAACAACTGTAAACTTTTTTCCATTTCCTTGTCCATTTGCCCATGCACTCCATGCTGATCTCCTTAATTAGCTTCATAGTTCCTACTAAAGCTTGCAGCATGCTCCACTAATTGCCCACTAACTACCTTGAATGATCATTCTCATCTTGGACTGACTGACTGACTGAGTTTAGTTTTACGCCGCTTTTAGCAATATTCCAGCAATATCACGGCGGGGGACACCAGAAATGGGCTTAACACAATGTGCCCATGTGGGGAATCGAACCCGGGTCTTCGGCGTGACGAGCCAACGCTTTAACCACTAGGCTACCCCACCACCCCCTCATCTTGGAGCCAACGTTGTAATCTGAATAGTGGGGAGGCCAGGCGGGCATCCATCGTGTGAGATAGGATAAGTATATAAATATACAATTTATATTAACATTTAAAAATTTTAAAACTTATCCTATCTCACGACTTGCACTTATCCCACGGTTGGACAGCAGGCCGCAGATTACCCTTCTGTCTGGACAGTGTGAACAGCTGGTCTTGGAGCTGTGTGGACTGATGACAACCGTAGATAGCGATGTACAAGTGAGACCTGTTACGCATGCACGCAACTCCTATGCTTGTAGTTGGTTCTCCTGAACCCCATGGCTTACTAAGCACAACGACTCCCAGGGAGATGGGTGCTCTCGAGTGATGTGGTGTTCGTCCGCAACCTACACCGGCTGCCTCGTGACTAGAATCGGGTCAAATTGACCCTCACTCCTTTGCCTAAGCTTAGTCAAAGGATGTGCCTGGCAACTTCGGAGGCTGAAGCAACGAAATCCACTGGAATTCGGGAGTGTCACATTTCACTGCCGTAATTGCTCCGTAAGCGTGAATATCGAACACCTCTGCATCGTCATACTGATTGTGCCTCAGGTCCGTAGGGCCACACTAGGTGGCCGTATTGTGATGCCTTGGTATGGAGGCCAAGTGAAGTAGTTCTTAAACCCATATAATGAGAACAAAAGGTTGAGATCCAGTTCAACATTTATTCAGTATATACAAGGAAGTAATAACGCGAATGCGGAACCATCCCTCATCTGCATTGTTGGGCCGATGTAAGCTGCTGAGCCAGTACAAGAGGTCCGAACTGGTGTAGTCCCTGGACATCCGTTACAGACAGGTCTCGCAGGCAATGTGAAGAGACTGTATCAGAACGCCAGAAGCAACCACCCATGATGGCGGTCAAGGACCAGTTGCTGTGGAGGGCCATCGTCGAGGCTAGTGAACGAGTCTCATGAGGATTGAAAGCGGCAGGAGGAGGCAACCCTGCAAAGGTGTAGGCTTGCAGGATCTAGGCACGCATCCAGAAGTCCAATGTGGTCCGGGAAACCTCAGCTGTTGAAGCGGTCGACAAGGGTATGAAGAGGTGCTTTAGTAGCCTTCAACGATCCTTAGAGGCAGCAAGGTAAACGTGCAGAGCCCTAACAGGGCAGTGTCAGATCTTCATTATCATCAGGCCAAAGAATGGTGGACAATAGGGGAATGGTAAACATCCAGTCCGGTTGCCCTGACAGGCGTTTTTTCGCAATAAAGTCCCAGCAGAGACCCAGGAAATCCTTGCCATGCTTCTTCTGCTCGAACCGCACCCGATTGACATCAAGCGCATGCAGTTCAGATATACGAGCAGTGGTAGCCAAAGCTACCAGGAAGAATGTCTTGAATGTCACTTGTCTTCTAAAGGTTCATAGTCTGTAGAAATCATATGACGAAGGACGACGGACAGATCCCAGGCCGGAGGTCTGAACTTCCTGGACTGGTCAGAGAATCTATAGGACCGTAGTAGACTCTGCAACTCGGGAACAGTGGAAATCTTCGTGCCCGTGGTGGTAGCCAAAACCAAGTTGATGGCGGCTAAGTAGGTAGCTAACGTAGTACCTTTGAGTTTCTTAGTAGTGAGGAGATGCTGGAGAAACTCAGCAACGACCTGAGCAAAGGTGGAAGTGGGAGATGCAATTCCCCTAACCTTGCAGTAGTCTTCAAACTTCTTACTCTTGTTGTCGTACAAGGAACAGGTCGAAGTATGAAGTGATAGCTGTGGCCACCTGGGGAGAGTAGCCCTCAGCTATGAGAGATCTCTGAACATGCGCCAAACATGTAGATTGAGGGTCTGAGGTGACGCATGGCGCAGTTCCGAGTGAGGGTGAAGAAGTAGGTTGTCCCTGTTGGGAAGCGGTACTGGGTTTGGCTCTACCAGGCTTCTTAGGTTGACGAACCAACTTCTCGCTGGCCAGAAGGGTGCGACTAAAAGCAGTAGTATGTTGCTGGTGGTCAATAGTTTCTGTATTACTTTCAGTACAGAGCTGAAGGGGGGAACGCGTAGGCATTGAGACCCTCCCATGATATTGCCAACGTGTCCAGGTCCCATGCCAAGGAGTCTGGGATTGGTGATACGAACTTTGGAAGTTGGTTGTTGAACCTTGTGGTGAACAGATCCATTTGAGGCCATGATATTGGGTAGATCATCGACTGAAAGATCTGGGGCAGTAACTTCCACTCTGTCGGGGACAGTCGGTTGGATCGGGACAAGGCATCAGCGATCACATTTTTTACCCTGGGAATGTGTCTGGCTTTGGCTAAGATGTTGAGTGAGTCGATGAGATGGAAGAACCTGTTTGCCCATTGTAGCAGATTCGCCATGCCTGTCGAGCCTAGATGATTTATATACCAAACCACTGTCGAATTGTCTGATTGAATCAGCAGACTGGTTGATTGAAGCTCTGTTGCCCAATGCCAGATGGCTTGAATTACCGCCTTGAATTCCAGCTCGTTATGAAGTACCAGTGCGTCGGATGACCACAGCTCGGCCACTTGGTGGTCGAGGAAGTGAGCTCCCCAGCCCATGAGGGATGAATAGGTGATGAGTCGGTGCAAAGGGCATCATAGAGACTCCGGCGCAGACATTCTGTTCGTCGAGAAACCACTGAAGGACTGAACGAAGCGGTTCTGGAATGCAAATCAGTTCCTTTGGGGTTGTTGGCCTGAAGATACGGGCTTAAAAATTGCTGTATCGGCCGAAGTTTGAGCTGGCCTCTGTATGTTAAGGCTTGAGCTGACGTCAGAAGGCCCAGTAGCTCCTGCCACTGCCATAAGGTTCTCGCCTGAGACAGCGCTCGAGGAATGCATCGCTGAATCTTTATCCACCTGTCGTGGGGGCCCGAACATCAAAATTATGAGACAAATCATCAGAGTTGGTCTGTCGATTTCATTATTCGATTATTAGATTTTGTGTTAGTGAGCAATTCATCGGTCTCAAAAGAAATCAAACGGACTGTAGATGTTGGGCATTTGGGTGGTTAAGGACAAATGGGGCTCAAACGCTTAGCTGACTCACCTGCATTGGGGCAAACTCTCCTGAGAGAGTACAGTTGGGGCGAATAACTGCCAGCCTTGTGGTGCCGTTGATACTGATAGGCATGACAGGCCTGTTGAGTGTGCTATTAGTGGAGTCTGTGAGGAAAGACGAAATAGCACCCTGGTAAAAGGCTGACATCAGAGTGTTCTTGTTGATGGTTATATTGGCGACGGTGAGGGTGAAGTTGTCGTTCAAGATAGCCATCATCATGTTGTAGGATTCGTGACTGTATGTGCACATTGTGTAGTTCTGTGGTTTGTCTGAAAGGTCAAGACAAGTGGATGAGCTACCAGGAATGATCAGCTAGTTTTCAGACTGGGTATAATTCTCAGATGTAAAACACACATTACCAGCACTACTGATGTACCAAGGCTCTTGTTTCACACACCTGATCCACATATGATCCCTAAAACCTCTACCCTCACTACATGTGACCCCTCTCTCCTCTACCCTCACCTACATGTGACCCCTTCATCCTCTACCCTCACCTACAAGTGATCCCTCCAGCCTCTACCCTCACCTACATGTGATCCCTCCACCCTCTACCCTCACCTACATCTGATCCCTCCAGCCTCTACCCTTACCTACATGTGATCCCTCCAGCCTCTACCCTCACCTACATGTGATCCCTCCAGCCTCTACCCTCACCCACATGTGATCCCTCCAGCCTCTACCCTCACCCACATGTGATCCCACCAGCCTCTACCCTCATTACATGTGATCCCTCCAGCCTCTACCCACACCAACATGTGATACCTCCAGCCTTTACCCTCACCCACATCTGATCCTACATATGATCCCTCCTACCTCCAGGTTCTGATCTCCTCTCACAAAGGATTCCTTCATAGCCATCTGGGCAGAGACACAGCCGGGGTGTTCTGTCCATCTCTCCAACGCAAGAACCGCCATTCCTACAGATGTTTGACAGAGCGCTGCAGATTAGCTTGCTGATGTCTGTTGGGTCGGGAGCTGTAATGAACGATGATGTAGATCAAAACTACTGTCACATTGTCAAAAATCCAAATAACTCCATCAACAGGCAACACACTGAAATCCTGGCTTCCAACATCAGTAATTGGAGTCAATCAACGTAAGAAGATTAGTGCTCGAGATCAACTGGGATCAAGGGGTGTACCTCCCTAACCCCTGGTGCATCATCATCAAAGACTTCCCTTGTGCATGTATATACTTAATTTACATATGGCTTCCTGTACATCAATATATATATACTGTATTGCTCACTATGATCCTTATCCACCTGAAGAAGGGGCAAGAACTAGCCCAGAAAGTTGTGAAAAATAAATCAAGAAGTTGTTATCCATAAGATTTGTTTTGTAAAACTACTGTATTTGGTCCAGAAGTGAACAGAGGTAGTTACATATCAACAGGACTTGTTTTTTACCACTTCAGTAACTGGATAAAGTGCAACCACTTAGCAAAAGGGGATGGAATGTGTAACTCGTTAAGTGCTCAGGTATTTACATCCTTAAATAGACAGAATAAATGGGGAAGGCTAACGGTAAAGGGACCACATGGTCGATCACAGATTCAGAGATACTGACAGAAACGTGAACCGGTGAATAAAAGTCTTAAATTTCACGATCTATGTTTTAATGGTTTAAAAAACCCTTATTTGTTACGTGTTGACTGTTGGAATTACAGATTGTTTACAATATAAGCCTCAAAACTGAAAATATTAAGAGGTTCCATAAAGGTACCACATGGTCAGCGCAAACTTTTATGCAGTATAAAAACTTCAAACGAGGCAGAGAAAGGCTTCACTAGGCAATATTTTACATGTGCTTCTTTGGACACCTTTCATTAAACCTCACAGCGTAACAGAGTTCTTGATCGCAACTAATTTGACTGGCATTTGACCTGACCCTGCTTCCGGTGGAGGATAAGTTTACACGAGCCCGCGTTTGAACACTGATAATACAATATGATTTATAGCTACATGGTTGCAAAGTTGTATTTTACATTGGTAATTATACAAAGCAGGTTTGACTACTCAATTATTGTCCAAAATTGTCTTAATTATGTTTTTTTCCGTAGACATACAAAATCAACGTGTTTATTACGACCACCTGGTCCCTTTATTTAATAAGATGTTTTGGTTATTTTTTGGTGTCATTATTGCAATGACAATTGAATTTAATCTCCTAGAAAGATCCTCTTCAGTACACAACTATTATGAACTGAATTAAATATTGAAAAAAAAATGTAAGAGAAATTTAGTAGATTAAATTTTCCTTTCAGGTTTCAAAATCCTGACGGTAGTACATACATTCACTATGGACAGACTATACAAACCTGTTAAACCCAATATTTTAGTGGCCGAAGCACAAACAGCTCGAATTCAATTAATTACTTAGACTTACATAACTTTGTACCAAAAAATGAAGGTACATATGGATGGGAAACGTACCAATATGACCTTTATCAGTTTGATTTGTGCACTGAGCCTTTGCACAACTCTCACTACCCTTTTACATTGCGGCGTATACAGTCAGAACCAGACTTGAGTCGTTGTTACACCGGGCCTGGTTACCCACCAATTCCCCGTTTTGAGCGTATATCTCGGTCTTTTTCCCATCATAACTTTGTCGATCCACAGTTTCATTCATTCACAATACCACGACATGTTATTCCAGAAAAAGAATTATCATCCCACAATTTGCCAAATATGTGGCGAATCATTTGATAATCATTCTTATCAGCATATGGAATTATGGGGAATTGACACCTCCGATTATCAAAGTGTAGAGGGTAGAGCAATCAATATCCCTATCCCGTCATCAATTGAAAGTTTGTCAACCTATTAAAATAGGACTAGATTTGTTGAAGAATCTATAAGCAGTACTTCTGGTCAGGCTGAGAATGAAATCATCATAAGAGGTATGTTAAATGTATTAATAGAAGGGCCATAAGCGGTTAACCAGAATGTTATAGAATCAGGGGTTTGTGGATTTTTTATAATGTTTTTTTTATCAGTTGATTTCTTTTTTACTTGTCGATTATACAATATTCCAAAATGAACTGTTAAATACTGAACACTTGTAACTGTTCTGACTGGAACGTATATCTTGCTTTTTCAGAATGTCTGCTCCCCCAAACAGTCCAGCAAGTGACAGTTCTGTCGAGGCAGAAAGATGGGTCTGCTGCGAGTGTCAGCTATCAGCTATTGACCCCTCAAAACTTGAAACATAACTAGTCTGTAGTGATAACACTGTTTTGACTGTCGCAGATGGAACACTCTGGCTATACTGTGCATCATGCCACAGACAGTTCCATTTATTCTGTGTTGACAATCTGTCAGATAGTACAACCGTCCATGACATCAATTCTCATGGTTTTTACTGGTGTTTGCACTGTGGTTGGTATAAGTAACTGAGCAATTATGGCTGAGGAACAGTTGTTAGATTTTGGCAAAGGCATTGCCGATGTACCAGGAGCATTGTAAACCAAAAGTCACTGTGTTCTTTAATCTGATTGGTTGAAAAACGTGATCAAATCGTATTTGATTCCCGGAAATTATCTGCGTATTAATACATACAAACATCGCTCACACCATTGTATTGTTACATCATCAGCTGTAATGACGTCATTAAAATCATATTGTGACGTAAAGTCCGAATGAGCAGTTCCAGATGCTACCATGGGAGACAGCCGAAACGGCCGGCTGATGACATTTCACTGCTGTACCCGTACTCGATATCAATGAGAGCAGACACAAAAAACGTGTGTGGACCTTCTGGTTTACTTTTGTGTTTACAATGTCGATAAACATCATGTGTTGGCCAATTTCCGGGTGTTATTGAGTATTTGAAGCACGGGAATTCATTTGGAACCGACGGCGTCAGGGTTTCAAATGAAATATTCCGATGCTTCAAATACTCAATAACAACGCCGTCGGTTCCAAATGAATTCCCGTGCTTCAAATACTCAATAACACCCTGAAATTGGCCAACACATGATGTTTATCTCCTAAACGGATATTATTTCTGAATATGTTTGTACTGATGATAATAATGCAAGCAATAACGATGTATTGGAAGACTTTGCTGAAACATGCTTAGATTCTAGCCTCTGTACACTACCAGAATACGGAGAGGATACTGTTAAATTTCTGCATTAGATGTTGACCAAGATGTTGTTGAAGTGACTCTTCCAACTCTGTCTATACCCTTATCCCATTCTGATTGTGAACTGGAGGTGCAATCCTTTATTCAAAGTGGGTGCTGTGCATGGAATTGCACAAAGAAGATTCCACTTGATATGATTCAGGAGTCAAGACTGGATTGTCTTGAATTTGATTTTTATTGTGATACCGGTAATCACGTTAATCATCATCATATCTTAATGCTCGGAGCATTGAATACCCTTGTACAGAACCAGCCTCATACCGTGAAGAAAGGTCATGCCCCTCAGCCAAGAACGGAGACCAGAACAACGTACATGTTCAGAGGTGTCACAGTTTGTCGAGAATGTTTCATGTTTGTTTTTGGGTCGGGTATTAAGCGTCTTAAAAACGTCAAAGAGCATATGTTAGTTTCTGGAATAAATGCCAAGAAACATGGTAGGGCAGATAAAACCAATCAATCAACATGTCTCACATTAGAACAGCGAAAAAAGGCTGTACAGTTCATTGAAAACTATGGTGAGCAGAATGCCTTAGTGATGCCTGGCTGCATCTCTGGAAGGAAAAACACTGACTTAAAACTGTTGCCTTCTCACATGACCAAAAAGTTTGTATACGGAAAATACGAAGATGCGTGTCATGACACTAACGAGGAACATGTGTCAGTTTCCACATGGTATGCAACATGGATGTTGTTTTGTTCCCACATTGTTATCCAAAGACCAAGAACAGATCTGTGTGCTGTTTGTCAGCAGAACAGTATGACCATGTCGAAACTCAAGAACATATTGACCAAGTGACGTCTGAATGTGGATTCTACATTATTCTACGTATTTATCTTACTGAACACCTCAATGGTAATTTTGAACTGTTTGAAGCACAGGTATCGGATCATAGTATGGAGTACCAGACAACAAGACGACAAAAAAAGCAAATATAGAGCTATCTCCCTTCCGTCGATTTGCATTTGCAAAACATGGGTAATTTCCATACATCATACGTGATTCAATGTTATTCGAGATAAACAATTACTACTATGAAGTACCAAATGAGTTCGGCATTCCAAGCGGGGTGCATAGAAAATGTTACTCGCTTGTAAACGGGGTGCACTGAAAATAATAGAAGAGCGCTCAGCAAAGAGCAAGATAAATGGTTATATGACTGACCTGTGCATGGAGGCTGACCAGGGACCATAGTGACGTTGGTGGAGATTTCCTGTCCCCGACTGTTGACACAATAACACCTCTCAGCACCAGTGTAAATGTCACGCTGACACTGCTGTGGAGCGAAGTCACCATTGACGGAGCAGTTGGTCAGTGGAAGGTATGAACTGCCTAATGCGGACCTCATGATGCTCCCCACCATGGTACTGGCATTGTTCACTCCAGGCACGGTCTCAGTCCCGTTCAGGATGCGCTGGACAGTGTCGGTCAGGTCCTGCTGCCGTTCACATTGGGTGCGTGCTGAAATCGACAATCACTTGTTTGTGAATCTGTGCAACATGAAGCCTACCATTCTCTTCCCACAGAGGTTACTTGACATATCTTCCTACGAACCTCTGTTCTAATACGGCCATATTTCCCGGTTCTCGTAAAATCCCCTAGCGGCAAAAGATCGCAAAACGAATTATCTCCCTTCTTTCTATCCAATCAGAACACCTGTTACATCGACTTATATTCAACTTAGACTAACACAAGAAAATGTGAGGCCACAAATATCTCCGATCTGCCGGGGACATGTGTTGATGTTACACACAAGATGTTTAGGCTAGCTTGTCGGTTGTTAACGAGGGCGATGGAGACACCACTGATCCGCCATAACATGACTGAGTTCTGTCTAGAAGAAACGTTTGCGCATCGCGCAGGGGAAGAGGTTTAGTTTTCTCGAAGTATACGGAAATTACCGAGGCCTTGCGAATGATCACTTTTGAAACAACGTCGCTGATTGCACAACTAAATCTGATTGCCTCCAATCACGAGTCTTGAACGCTCACACCATTAAAGGGCCGTATTAGAACAGAGGTTACTTAGGAAGATATGACAGGAGTAACCTCTGTGGGAAGAGAATGGAAGCCTACATATACATGCAGAATGGGCAAGCAGTGAGGATGAGCAGCTACATAGGACAACTCTGCTGTCTTACACATGAAAGGCTGTAACGCTGCATCAAACTATCGATGCATTGCAATTGTTGAGTCTCAGATAGCAATTAATGGATGGTAGAAATGAAAAACTATTGATGCATCTATAGTATGTGTGACGTAATAACTATCAAAAGTTTAGTAATTGACTTCCACAGGATGTTTGGGTACAGACTTGCAGCTTCATTGAGTTTACTTAATCTGGGTTTCAAGTTTCTTGTGACTCATTAAAACTACTTCAGCTTGTTTTTATTTCATATAAACTATACATTCATTTCTTGTCACTCGTTAAAACTACTTCAGCTTGTTTTTATTTCATATAAACTATACATTCATTTCTTGTCACTCATTAAAAGAGACTGAAACTACTTCAAAACTTGTTTTTATTTCATATAAACTAAAAATTCATTTGGGAATTGACTTCAAATGAGACAAGTCAAGGAGAAAGAAACTATTGCATTAGTTGGTCGCAATAGTGGGTCGCAATAGACTATCGCTATCACAATAATTGTTTCCCCCTCAATAGTCACCCCAAAAATCAAGGCTACACACTTGGTACACCTTACAGTAACATGCACAACATGCCTATACAGGAGAATTACATATTATTACTGCCTGTTACACACCTGTTCCCAGTCTTTCACAGAACGCTCCACGACGACCCTCGGGGCATTTGCACAACATCCCATTCTGGACATCGCCGACACATTCACCAGCACCGCAGATGTTCACACTGCCAAACATCGAACACACACGGGCTGAAAGGAGAACAGAAACATTCACAGGACAGGTGTACAGTAAAGGTGGGCTATATGATGCAGTATAGGTGTTACAGGTGTGTAATGCAGTATAGGTGTTACAGGTGTGTAATGCAGTACAGGTGTTACAGGTGTGTAATGCAGTATAGGTGTTACAGGTGTGTAATGCAGTATAGGTGTTACAGGTGTGTAATGCAGTATAGGTGTTACAGGTGTGTAATGCAGTACAGGTGTTACAGGTGTGTAATGCAGTATAGGTGTTACAGGTGTGTAATGCAGTATAGGTGTTACAGGTGTGTAATGCAGTACAGGTGTTACAGGTGTGTAATGCAGTACAGGTGTTACAGGTGTGTAATGCAGTACAGGTGTTACAGGTGTGTAATGCAGTACAGGTGTTACAGGTGTGTAATGCAGTACAGGTGTTACAGGTGTGTAATGCAGTACAGGTGTTACAGGTGTGTAATGCAGTACAGGTGTTACAGGTGTGTAATGCAGTACAGGTGTTACAGGTGTGTAATGCAGTATAGGTGTTACAGGTGTGTAATGCAGTACAGGTGTTACAGGTGTGTAATGCAGTACAGGTGTTACAGGTGTGTAATGCAGTACAGGTGTTACAGGTGTGTAATGCAGTACAGGTGTTACAGGTGTGTAATGCAGTACAGGTGTTACAGGTGTGTAATGCAGTACAGGTGTTACAGCTATGTAATGCAGTACGTGTTACAGGTGTGTAATGCAGTATAGGTGTTACAGGTATGTAATGCAGTATAGGTGTTACAGTGATGTAATGCAGCATAGGTGTTACAGGTGTGTAATGCAGTATAGGTGTTACAGGTGTGTAATGCAGTATAGGTGTTACAGGTGTGTAATTCAGTACAGGTGTTTAATGCAGTATAGGTGTTACAGCTGTGTAATGCCGTATAGGTGCTACAGGTTATAATGTAGTTTGGGTGTTACAGGTGTGTAATGCAGAATAAGTGGCACTGGGTTTATCATGAAGTACAGGTGTTACGGTGTTTACACTTGAACAAGTACTTTGTGATTACAGTACTGTCTCCAAATACAGTGTAGTCTCCATGCTACTCACCGTTGGTCTGGCAATGTACTCCTGTATAGCCTTCCATGCAGTTGCAGTAGAAGCCTTGACCGGCCCGCTCCACACACTGACCGTTGTAGCTACAGGGCATTGCATCACAGGGGCTGCGGTAGTAGTAGTCTGCCAACAGACAGGGCAAACTATACCTTCCACCAGGGTGCCAATCCAAAACTGTTTACCTTACAACTGTTACATTCCTATAAAATTCAGGACTGGAAAAGATTCTTTCAACAACCCTATTGGTGACAAATACTTTTTTAAAACCATTGGAGAGAGGTAGTTGTTGTTTTTTTAAAAATTCTTTTGCTACTAGGTCCGTTTTGGCACCTTTCTGAAGACCTTGGTAGGAGGCACCTTTGTGAAAACAACTTGCAGATATATCTTTGTGCAGCTGTGGGGAAAGCCTGCCAGGTTGTGGAACACGGCAAACAGTAGGACTGCATGGTATTACTGTTATATTGCAATATACGTTTCAAACGATATGTATCGCAATATTTTTTCTTAAAACTGGTATATTGGGTAAAGAACATATATGAAGGTTTTGTGATTATCTTTATGGTTTCAATTACAATTTACACACGTTCATTCACAACAGATGTTTTCCTTCGTTCTACAGTTACAGAAGGCATACTGTAATACAATAAAGAGTATAAAAAAGAAAATAGAATCCATGGCTATGCAACCTAATTATGAGATTGCGGTTATAAGAACCAAAACATGTATGTTTAGGGACCTAAAGTGTAGAAAATAGAATCATTTACTGCCAAACGCATAGGTTCCCAATATAGCGCAATACATATCGCAATACATATCACAATACATATCGCAATACATATCGCAATACATTGACAATATACATATCACAATCCATATATCGCAATACATATCGTAATACATATCATATCACAATACATATCGTAATACATATCACAATAAATATCGCAATACATATCGCAATACATATCACAATACATATCACAATCCATATATCGCAATACATATCACAATCCATATATCGCAATACATATCGTAATACATATCGCAATACATATCGCAATACATATCACAATACGGGTACCGATATTGCATTATATTGCAATACAATGTATTTGCCAATACACAGCCCATGCAAACAGTATGATGAACGTTGTCATAGTTGTGAATAATCAACTAAGGGGAATCTTCAACATGATAGGCAGATATCATAACTAAGGAGAATCTTCAACATGATAGGCAGATATCATAACTGAGGAGAATCTTCAACATGATAGGCAGATATCATAACTAAGGAGAATCTTCAACATGATAGGCAGATATCATAACTAAGGAGAATCTTCAACATGATAGGCAGATATCATAACTAAGGAGAATCTTCAACATGATAGGCAGATATCATAACTGAGGAGAATCTTCAACATGATAGGCAGATATCATAACTAAGGAGAATCTTCAACATGATAGGCAGATATCATGACTAAGGAGAATCTTCAACATGATAGGCAGATATCATGACTTAGGAGAATCTTCAACATGATAGGCAGATATCATAACTAAGGAGAATCTTCAACATGATAGGCAGATATCATGACTAAGGAGAATCTTCAACATGATAGGCAGATATCATGACTAAGGAGAATCTTCAACATGATAGGCAGATATCATGACTTATAAATGCATTATGAGAGTCTGTAGAATTAGATAATTCTGCCACCAAAGCACACCAGTACTTACCAACACACATGTTTGTCTCCTTACATCCGGAGGTACCACAGCGCTCTTTCCTTATGCACTTCTTGCCGGTACGACACTGCACACAGATATAAAACATGTTATACTTGGGATTACACTTTCCCAGTAAAGAACAGATTCTAGTACTTTTGTTGGGTTGAGTCCCATCTGGAATTCAAACCCACACCCTCAGAGTCAGGAACCTAATCGCCAGCACAGAAAGTCAGCCGCCTAACCCGCTAAGCCACCAGACTTCCACAAAATGGACTTCGGACAACTGGTGTCGGTCTAGACTGCGGACTTTGTGTCTGAGCTGAGCGGATTAGGTCGCAGTGAAGCAGGAATACCCCACTCAGACACATTATACTGACTCCGAGCCGACCAGTCCTTGTTGTACCCATTAATGTCGAGCGCCAGGCAGGCACCAACAAGTACCATATTTTAACGTCTTTTGGTATGACGTGGTCGGGGATCGAACCCGCAACCTTCCGCTCTCCAGGCGGACGCTCTAACCGATGGTTGGGTGTGAGGTTTAGAGGGATCGCATCTCACCTGACACATGTATATTGGAACATCCTCACAGTTAGGGCCGTAGCTCGACGGACAGTCACACATGTGACTCCCATTACCAAGGTTAATGCAGCTGAAGTTGTTCTGGCAGGGGTTTGATTGACATGGATTGTTGGTCACTGAAATCATACACAGGACATCACAGATAAATATATACTAATATCTAATCTTGTAGGATTCATTTGTTGGACAGCACTTATATATAATGACTATAGTGATTATAGTTTTATACCAATTTTACCAATATTCACAGTCAGGTGAAACTGTTCAGTACCTACGTCCACAGTCAGGTGAAACTGTTCAGTACCTATTTCCACAGTCAGGTGAAACTGTTCACTACCCCCGTCCACAGTCAGGTGAAACTGTTCAGTACCTACGTCCACAGTCAGGTGAAACTGTTCAGTACCTACCTCCACAGTCAGGTCAAACTGTTCAGTACCTACGTCCGGTCAGGTGAAACTGTTCAGTACCTACCTCCACAGTCAGCTGCAGTCAGGGGTTGAGATGTCTTGTTTCCTCTGATAAAACCATAGTTGTCCACACAGAAGCAGAGAGTCCGCCCAGTCAGTACGTCCACCTCACACGTAGGGGATATGTACTGTGTTGGATTGCTGGGGTTACACTTGGGCTTTATGTATGAAGTCAGGTTGAATTTCTGCAGTATTTCAATCAGATTATTCGCTCTGGCATAGTTGACGGGAGGTGGAACAGCAGTGCCTTGCAGAACCTTCTGAATGTATGCCGAGAACCGTTCTTTGAGCTCACAGCCCCAAATGAATTCTGTTGGGAGAAAGGTCATGACAATCAGTCCCAATCATAACTGCCAATCTTAACAGTACATCGGTAAAATATTGAATCTCTCTCCCATTAATGTGGGGTGGGTATTTGGTTGATCGGTTAATGAAGTTTTACGATAGTTCACAGAGGCAAGCAAACTACCACACAACACATAGCAGATCATTTCTGAATGATAGAAAAAATCAACTTTTGTATGGTCCACATTATTTGTAAACGAAATCTGTTAACAAAATAACAGCTGCATTTATTTGATGATGAAGATGGATGGACTCACCATAACCCTGTTTCTCACAGAAGAGTCCTTTTCTGTTACTTCCACACTGACAGATTTCTCCAGTTCTCATATCACCAATACACGAGCCACCCATGCATATATTGGAGTAAAAATAGTCACAAAGTCGCTCTGGAAAACAATATGCAATATGACAAAACGTCTTCTGTATCATAGAGTATCTGGCAGGGCTTGATTTAAGGAAATGAAACCTACTTGCATCCAGTGCAACCTAAGGCAATCACCTTGTTGCACCAAACAAAAACAGGTTGCACCTCCTGCTTAATATAAAATCTTATATACAGCTTGAGTTTTGGTAAAGACGGTTTAGAACAGTATCATTACAAAAGAAATCTGTAGTTATCCTACTTCTTAAACTTTCATGAACAGTACGTCCTTCAGCATTCTCTTCCCACAGAGGTTACTCCTGTCATATCTTCCTACGTAACCTCTGTTCTAATACGGCCATATTTCCCGGTTCTCGTAATATCCCCTAGCGGCAAAAGATCGCAACACGAATTATCTCCCTTCTTTCTATCCAATCAGAACACGTGTTACATCGACTTAGATTCAACTTGACTAACACAAGCAAATGTGGGGCCACAAATATCCCCCATCTGCCGGGGACTTGTGTTGATGTTACACACAAGACGTTTAATGGCTAGCTTGTCCATTGTCAACGAGAACGATGGAGACGCCACTGAACATGATTGCACAACTAAATCTGATTGCCTCCAATCACGAGTCTTGAATGCTCACACCATGAAAGGGCCGTATTAGAACAGAGGTTACGTAGGAAGATATGACAGCAGTAACCTCTGTGGGAAGAAAATGGTCCTTCAGTGACAGTTCCTACAATAATCAGAGTCAATGTTCCAAGTCAGTTCCTCCTTATTCTGTTTTCTTCGAGCAAAAAATATTAACATGCACTGCGTGCAAGTTGATATACATAAGACGTTGAATTTAGTAGTTTCAGGTTCTTAATGCTTAAATCAAGCCCTCCCTGGGTAAACTCAACCAAGGCTCCCAATTACCCACAGCTTTGACAAGAGTATTCCTTCAGCCTTACCCTCACAGTTGATGCCCATAGTTCCAGGGGGGCAGATGCAGCCGTAGCTTGAGTACCCATAGTCCACGCAGGTCCCGTTATTCATACATGGAGAGGAGTCACAGACATCTGGAAGGATATAGAGGGACACTGACATAGGGGTTTACACCAAGAATATAGTCAGCATACCTAACCTGGCACTTTATACCAAGGATATAGTCAGCACATCTAACCTGGCACTTTATACCAAGAATATAGTCAGCATATCTAACCTGGCACTTTATACCAAGAATATAGTCAGAGTATCTAACCTGGCAGTTTACACCAAGTATACACTCAATATATCTAACCTGGCACTTTACACCAAGAATACACAAAATATATCTAACCTGGCACTTTACACCAAGAATACACTCAATATATCTAACCTGGCACTTTACACCAAGAATACACTCAATATATCTAACCTGGCACTTTACACCAAGAATATAGTCCATATATCTAACCTGGCACTTTACACCAAGAATACACTCAGTATATCTAACCTGGCACTTTACACCAAGAATACACTCAATATATCTAACCTGGCACTTTACACCAAGAATACACTCAATATATCTAACCTGGCACTTTACACCAAGAATACACTCAATATATCTAACCTGGCACTTTACACCAAGAATATAGTCAATATATCTAACCTGGCACTTTACACCAAGAATACACTCAATATATCTAACCTGGCACTTTACACCAAGAATACACTCAATATATCTAACCTGGCACTTTACACCAAGAATATAGTCAATATATCTAACCTGGCACTTTACACCAAGAATACACCTCAATATATCTACCTGGCACTTTACACCAAGAATACAGTCAATATATCTAACCTGGCACTTTACACCAAGAATATAGTCAATATATCTAACCTGGCACTTTACACCAAGAATATAGTCAATATATCTAACCTGGCACTTTACACCAAGAATACACTCAATATATCTAACCTGGCACTTTACACCAAGAATACACTCAATATATCTAACCTGGCACTTTACACCAAGAATACACTATATCAATCTAATATCTACACTCAAGAATATATCTAACCTGGCACACTCAATATATCTTACACCAAGAATACACTCAATATATCTAACCTGGCACTTTACCTGGCAAGAATACACTACACCAATATATCTAACCTGGCACTTTACACCAAGAATACACTCAATATATCTAACCTGGCACTTTACACCAAGAATACACTCAATATATCTAACCTGGCACTTTACACCAAGAATACACTCAATATATCTAACTTGGCACTTTACACCAAGAATACACTCAATATATCTAACCTGGCATTTTACACCAACAATATAGTCAATACATCTAACCTGGCACTTTACACCAAGAAAACACTCAATATATCTAACCTGGCACTTTACACCAAGAATATAGTCAATATATCTAACCTGGCACTTTATACCAAGAATATAGTCACTATATCTAACCTGGCACTTTACACCACGAATATACTAGTAGTCAATATATCTAACCTGGCACTTTACACCAAGAATACACTCAATATATCTAACCTGGCACTTTACACCAAGAATACACTCAATATATCTAACCTGGCACTTTATACCAAGTATATAGTCAATATATCTAACCTGGCTCTTTACACCAAGAATATAGTCAATATATATAGTCAATATATCTAACCTGGCACTTTACACCAAGAATACACTCAATATATCTAACCTGGCACTTTACACCAAGAATACATTCAATATATCTAACCTGGCACTTTACACCAAGAATACACTCAGTATATCTAACCTGGCACTTTACACCAAGAATACACTCAATATATCTAACCTGGCACTTTATACCAAGAATACACTCAATATATCTAACCTGGCACTTTACACCAAGAATATAGTCAATATATCTAACCTGGCACTTTACACTAAGAATATAGTCAATATATCTAACCTGGCACTTTACACCAAGAATACACTCAATATATCTCACCTGGCACTTTACACCAAGAATACAGTCAATATATCTAACCTGGCACTTTACACCAAGAATATAGTCAATATATCTAACCTGGCACTTTACACCAAGAATATAGTCAATATATCTAACCTGGCACTTTACATCAAGAATACACTCAATATATCTAACCTGGCACTTTACACCAAGAATACACTCAATATATCTAACCTGGCACTTTACACCAAGAATATAGTCAACATATCTAACCTGGCACTTTACACCAAGAATACACTCAATATATCTCACCTGGCACTTTACACCAAGAATACAGTCAATATATCTAACCTGGCACTTTACACGAAGAATATAGTCAATATATCTAACCTGGCACTTTACACCAAGAATATAGTCAATATATCTAACCTGGCACTTTACATCAAGAATACACTCAATATATCTAACCTGGCACTTTACACCAAGAATACACTCAGTATATCTAACCTGGCACTTTACACCAAGAATACACTCAATATATCTAACCTGGCACTTTATACCAAGAATACACTCAATATATCTAACCTGGCACTTTACACCAAGAATATAGTCAATATATCTAACCTGGCACTTTACACTAAGAATATAGTCAATATATCTAACCTGGCACTTTACACCAAGAATACACTCAATATATCTCACCTGGCACTTTACACCAAGAATACAGTCAATATATCTAACCTGGCACTTTTTACACGAAGAATATAGTCAATATATCTAACCTGGCACTTTACACCAAGAATATAGTCAATATATCTAACCTGGCACTTTACATCAAGAATACACTCAATATATCTAACCTGGCACTTTACACCAAGAATACACTCAATATATCTAACCTGGCACTTTACACCAAGAATATAGTCAACATATCTAACCTGGCACTTTACACCAAGAATACACTCAATATATCTAACCTGGCACTTTACACCAAGAATATAGTCAACATATCTAACCTGGCACTTTACACCAAGAATACACTCAATATATCTAACCTGGCACTTTACACCAAGAATACACTCAATATATCTAACCTGGCACTTTACACCAAGAATACATTCAATATATCTTACCTGGCACTTTACACCAAGAATACACTCAATATATCAAACCTTATACTTAACAGCAATTGTACCCCCATCCTAATCTTTCCCCCACCCTTCCCTCACAACCCATCCATCGCCTGCAGTCACACCTGTGGTATTTTGGATGAGGATTTCACAGCTTCTGCCTCGGTAGTAGTTCTGACATGCGCAGAAGTATTGCCCATCAAATCCATGGACACAAGACCCTCCATTGTAACATGTCCAGTTGGAGGATCTACAGTCACCTGGAATAATGAAGTTTTTCTCTTCAGTGAATTGCCTCCTCTCTCCTGTATATATTTACAAACATTCCTACCTGTAGTTACTCTCTCCTGTATATATTTACAAACATCCCTACCTGTAGTTACTCTCTCCTGTATATATTTACAAACATCCCTACCTGTAGTTACTCTCTCCTGTATATATTTACAAACATCCCTACCTGTAGTTACTCTCTCCTGTATATATTTACAAACATCCCTACCTGTAGTTACTCTCTCCTGTATATATTTACAAACATCCCTATCTGTAGTTACTCTCTCCTGTATATATTTACAAACATCCCTACCTGTAGTTACTCTCTCCTGTATATATATTTACAAACATTCCTACCTGTAGTTACTCTCTCCTGTATATATTTACAAACATCCCTACCTGTAGTTACTCTCTCCTGTATATATTTACAAACATCCTACCTGTAGTTACTCTCTCCTGTATATATTTACAAACATCCCTACCTGTAGTTACTCTCTCCTGTATATATTTACAAACATCCCTACCTGTAGTTACTCTCTCCTGTATATATTTACAAACATCCCTACCTGTAGTTACTCTCTCCTGTGTATATTTACAAACATCCCTACCTGTAGTTACTCTCTCCTGTATATATTTACAAACATTCCTACCTGTAGTTACTCTCTCCTGTGTATATTTACAAACATCCCTACCTGTAGTTACTCTATCCTGTATATATTTACAAACATCCCTACCTGTAGTTACTCTCTCCTGTATATATTTACAAACATCCCTACCTGTAGTTACTCTCTCCTGTATATATATACAAACATCACTACCTGTAGTCATCTCTCCTGTATATAATTACGATCATCTCTTCCTGAAATTATTTGTTGTGAAAAGTCAGAGAAAGAAATTTCATTCAGTCATATTTTTCCTCGATCTAAATTTTGAACCATGGATACCATGAACAGCTTCTGTCACAAAGTGTCATCTTACCTTGAGTGCCTGTGTAGTTTTGGCAGAATACTCCTGAATAACCATTTGCACATTCACAATTGAACCTGAAGCAGGTGCCCCCATTGTAACACTCGTCATTAGTGAAACATGTAGTGTCTGAAACAGAAACATTAGCTGTATATAGGGGAAGGAGCCTCATTCATCAAAAGTTTTAGTATCAGTATTAGCGTCAGTTGTTGAAAAAAGACAAAACATGTTACATAAACTATCATCTCAGGTAAAATTAAGAAATCTAGAACTTGAAACAGAGATTTTTCACGTACTAAAGGTTGGGAGGAGTGTTATATAAAATGGTACAGTTTGCAAGGTAGGTCTGATACATATGAGGGGTGGTGAAGTAGCCTAGTGGTTAAGCATTCGCTCGTCACGCCGAACACCCGGGTTCAATTCCCCACATGGGTACAATGTGTGAAGTCCATTTCTGGTGTCCTCCGCCGTAACATTGCTAGAATATTGCTAAAAGCGATGTAAAATCAAACTGACTCACTCACTCTGATACATATGAGGAGCGATAAAAAAGTAATGAGGCTCACCAAGAAAATGACACAAGCGCAGCTGTTTTTATGCTATATTTTTCTACATATTATCTGTTAACCTCAAGCAAATTGGTTTTGGTATGGTCCAGCCTCACTATCCCCATTTTTTTTTTATCTTGGTACCCCCAATAACGCAAAATCTGCAGCAAATGCACTACAAACGTCAGGAAACAAAATATGCAAGAAACATTTTGTGTGTTTGAGATAGGTAGACTTAGATGTTAAAGTGCAAAAAAAAGGCAATTTGAAACTACAATCACTTGTTAAAGTGACTCCCCCTTCATGTTTACTGAGAGAGCTTGTTTTGGAGACATTACCCACCCCACAAATATTTTACTCCAATGTGTTGTGTTGACAAATAATATTACCCACATATGTGAAATTTTGGATATGTCTTTGCTAATGATTCCTTCAAAATAAAAAGAAGGATTTTCAAACATTGGACATCGAGAATATAGTTAGGCTGATTACTTTTTAACCGACCCTTGTATTATAAATGTTCAGAGGATAAATGCTATTTTGTATCAAGGGAAATTATACAACTAAGACAATATGTTTGAAAAACATACAAGGATTATTACTGGGGACTCGTTGCCAATGAGATGAATACTAGCATAAAGTATTCACTACCCACGGGGGCGGCAGGGTAGCCTAGTGGTTAAAGCGTTGGTTCGTCACGCCGAAGACCCGGGTTCGAATCCCCACATGGGTACATTGTGCGAAGCCCATTTCTGGTGTTCCCGGCCGTGATGTTGCTGGAATATTGCTAAAAGCGGCGTAAAACTAAACTCAGTCAGTCAGTCAGTCAGTCACTACCCACCCCACAAAGACCATCATAGTATACTCACTGCCAGGTCTATTGTATGGGTTCATGCAGGTGCGTCCGCAGCCATTGTTGCAGCACTTGCTATCCCCGCTGCAGTCTCCATCACTGGAACAAACTGGTCCACATATTCCAGTAGAGTTACCAGACACTGGGGGACACACACCCGGCTTTTCTGTAAAAGCAATAAATGAAAATCGTCAGTTTGTTGTATAGTCAGGATGAAGATGTTTACTCAGATTGCACCTCGAAGTATACGAACAATAAATATTATATCTTTAACAGAGCAGTGTTTTACGGAATAAAAGATGGTGGGGTACAATATAGAACAAACTTTATGGATAACAACTTCTTTGTTCGTGTGTGTGATGTTTCAGTACAGATTCTTGTACCGTTGTCAAGCATAATGGAACATGAAGAAGGGGGAAGTATATATATACTGGATGTAATAATGTAACAAAGAAAACAACATAATTAACATAATTGGCTAGGCAGAAAGCTGATGAAGCCAGAGAGTAGCCAAAGGACAGGCATGGAAGCCAATGATGTACAAATAATAATGAGATGTTTATACAGGAGATTGGGCTTGGTGGATGCGTGCATCATAAGCGGATGGAATGAAGTATCCTTGGTCTCTGGTTGATGGTGGGCTTTTGGGGTTTGATGTGGATGGCTTCGGTGAGCTTGCGTTTAGTGAAGTCTGTTTGTTAGAGAGAATGGTGATGTCAGACCACTCTATTTGATGATTGGGGCTTGCTTTGATGTGGTCGGAAATGGCTGATTTGCTGTCGGAATTGGTAACACACGAATAAAAAGAAGTTGTTATCCATAAAGTTTGTTCTTTATTGTACTTCCCAACTTCTAAAATGCCACTCAAAGAAGTTAGACAGTGGGGTAGCCTCTAGTGGTTAAAGTGGTCACGCTGAATACCCGGCTTCGATTCCCCACATGGGTACAATGTGTGAGCTCATTACTGGCATCCCCTGCTGTGACATTGCTGGAATATTTCTAAAATCTATATGAAACTATATTCACTCACTCATCATTATTGAGTAAAGACAAAAATATTCATACAGTTAAGCACCTCACATACTGCAAAAGATATGACCGTCTATAAGCCGATCCCATGGATAAGCCGACCCCAAACTTGACCCTCAAAATCAGTGTCAAAATCATATCTCTCATGGATATGTCAACTCCGCGATGGGTCGCGCCAACAGAGACCAGAGTACCCGTAAGTATGTTCCATCAACGACGGAGACACCATTACGAGAATATTACATAATAAAGATTACCGTGTTTGTTTACCTTTTTTAACGATCACTGCTTGCATCAACAACTAGACGCCATTTGGAAAGTGGATATACAGCGTAAGTGTTGGTGAGAATATTACATAATAAAGATTACCGTGTATTGTGGCAACATGTGTTTGTGTTCCTTTTATATCCCAAGATCACTGCTTGCATCAACAACTAGACGCCATTTTGTGAAAAAGTACCATCGGTAAATAAAAACTGAAGTCAACTTTTGTTTCAAAATATATTATTTAAGTGTCCATATTTCATCTATATATATATGACAATAAGAAAAATAGTCCACTAACAATAAACACTGACATTTCTGCAAGAGAGTTCTGAGATTTTCACAAGTCATCGGGTCAGAACCCATCAAATTCGCGGTCACTGTCACTGTCGATCCACATTATTCAAAGAATTCACTGTCATATATATTGTGTCTACTCAACGGATCTAAACGAAGTGTAGTTGACAGAAAATGCATAATATATTTTGCTTCTCTAAATATCATATTTATTGTAGCAACAAACTGGCTTGCTTATTTTACCCCATTCAACAATCACAAACTGATTATCACTGCTCCATGTCACGCGGCTTACCACGCTCATGATGGTCCGTGATAACCTTAGTGTTGATTATATATTTTTACATAAAAACTATTACACAATGCTAGGATATATTTTTTTGGGTTAAATAATAGTATTCAATCAATAGAATTCATCCCGCTATATTATTGTGCATGTTTGAACTTGTTCAAGGGGAAACGGTGCACAGCTGATTGCTATTTCCGCTTTGTGTAATGGTGACAGATAACGCACGGTAATCTTAATTAATTTATAGAGCAAAACTGTAACTAAAATTACACAATGCTAGGATATATTTCTTTGGGTTAAATAACGGTATTCTGTATTATATTTTACTGATGACTGCGCCAGAATCGGCCCCGCTATATTATTGTGCATGTTTGAACTTGTTCGCCGGGAAACGGTGCACAGCTGATTGCTATTTCCGCTTTGTGTAATAGACAAATACGCACGGTAATCTTAATCCCTGCAAATAAAACAATGCCCAGCAAAACAACTTATAACTTAAATGGTAAATAATCTTGTCTAGTGATGTTTAATTGCAAATTTGACGCCTCTACTGACAAAGTCGCCTTCTGTTGTTTGTTCCCGCCAAGGATAATGATGTTGTTTTCTTTACCCCTGGAAAAAGTTTGACTAAAGTGTAACTCATGGATAAGACGACTTCCCTCTCTACAGACTGCTTTTTGGTCCTCAAAATTCGGCTTATAGACGGTCATAACTGTATGTTTCATGCAAATAGATGGGATCAGTGTAAACTTTGGGTAACAAAGAATTGTTTCTATGTTAAACCAATAATCTTTAAACGTAAGAAACATTACACCTTGGCTGCAAATGAGCCTTATGATCCTACTGACTGTACCACGATCATGCATACTGGGGCTGCTGACAAGCCTGATGATGCACATCTAGACTGATTAAGAAGCCTGATGATGCACATCTGGACTGTTTAACAAGCCCGATGATGCACATCTGGACTGTTTAACAAGCTTGATGATGCACATCTGGACTGTTTAACAAGCCCGATGATGCACATCTGGACTGTTTAACAAGCCCGATGATGCACATCTGAACTGTTTAACAAGCCCGATGAAGCACATCTGGACTGTTTAACAAGCCCGATGATACACATCTGGACTGTTTAACAAGCCCGATGATGCACATCTGAACTGTTTAACAAGCCCGATGATGCACATCTGGACTGTTTAACAAGCCCGATGATGCACATCTGGACTGTTTAACAAGCCCGATGATGCACATCTGGACTGTTTAACAAGCCCGATGATGCACATCTGAACTGTTTAACAAGCCCGATGATGCACATCTGGACTGTTTAACAAGCCCGATGATGCACATCTGGACTGTTTAACAAGCCCGATGATGCACATCTGGACTGTTTAACAAGCCCGATGATGCACATCTGGACTGTTTAACAAGCCCGATGATGCACATCTGAACTGTTTAACAAGCCCGATGATGCACATCTGAACTGTTTAACAAGCCCGATGATGCACATCTGGACTGTTTAACAAGCCCGATGATGCACATCTGGACTGTTTAACAAGCCCGATGATGCACATCTGGACTGTTTAACAAGCCCGATGATGCACATCTGACTGTTTAACAAGCCCGATGATGCACATCTGAACTGTTTAACAAGCCCGATGATGCACATCTGGACTGTTTAACAAGCCCGATGATGCACATCTGAACTGTTTAACAAGCCCGATGATGCACATCTGAACTGTTTAACAAGCCCGATGATGCACATCTGGACTGTTTAACAAGCCCGATGATGCACATCTGAACTGTTTAACAAGCCCGATGATGCACATCTGAACTGTTTAACAAGCCCGATGATGCACATCTGGACTATTTAACAAGCTTGATGATGCACATCTGGACTGTTTAACAAGCCCGATGATGCACATCTGGACTGTTTAACAAGCCCGATGATGCACATCTGGACTGTTTAACAAGCCCGATGATGCACATCTGGACTGTTTAACAAGCCCGATGATGCACATCTAGACTTTTTAACAAGCCCGATGATGCACATCTGGACTGTTTAACAAGCTTGATGATGCACATCTGGACTGTTTAACAAGCCCAATGATGCACATCTGGACTGTTTAACAAGCCCGATGATGCACATCTGAACTGTTTAACAAGCCCGATGATGCACATCTGAACTGTTTAACAAGCCCGATGATGCACATCTGGACTGTTTAACAAGCCCGATGATGCACATCTAGACTGTTTAACAAGCTTGATGATGCACATCTAGACTGTTTAACAAGCCTGATGATGCACATCTGGACTGTTTAACAAGCCCGATGATGCACATCTGGACTGTTTAACAAGCCTGATGTTTTTTGGCAAAGTAAAAACATTTGCTGATAAAACATAAAAGTTTCCCAGAAATTGTGTACCACTTAAAAACAAGTGTTTTTGAAACAAAAAGATTTCACACTTACCAAAACCCAAGAACGGTGACATTTTTGAAGTTGGGTAGATAGGAATATGCTGGCTTCAGCTGTAATGAAAGTGGTCAGAGTATGAGCCAACCTTCACCTTGTACCCATTGGTGAGCAAAGACAGAAATGGTCAAACAATAGAAATTGCAGTCACTATAATTTCTATAAACTTCAGAGTTTCTGCAATGTGAACACTGTTCTCTTTGAGTAGAAGACATGTTGTTTTCACTATGAAAGAGTGAGACATTTCCATGTGTAAGCCCAGCAAAAACATATTTGTCATGGTCAGGGATAACTGGTGGAAAACTAAGAGAGAAGGAAGTGACGTGACACCTCTTGTCTTGATACCAGGAGTGACACGACACCTTAGTTCTTGTTGCCAGGAGTGACACGACACCTTAGTTCTTGATACCAGGTGTGACATGACACCTTAGTTCTTGATACCAGGAGTGACATGACACCTTAGTTCTTGATACCAGGAGTGACATGACACCCCATTGCCTAATACCCGATATCAATTTTATACCTTAATATGACACTTATACATGTCTTACCCAATGTCCACATTTACAGATTTTTGATAACCTTTATTTATGAACATCATAGATTCTGTACACATATAAATCAAATGACACAGTAACATGTATCTCCAAACTCACAGTTCGTTCCATCGCAGACTTCACAGTGATGTAGTAGCTTGAGGCTGGATTGTACAGATCGTTTCGCCAAGGCATGTCAATACGAACAGTGTCGTTGTACTTGTATATCACTGGAACAGTTAAGGGGATAAACTTCAATTGCTCAAAAATTATACTTCAAGTCATGACCATGAATAGAAAATGGGTTCCTTGTAAGGATGGGAAAGCCACAGTAACTTGGTGCACCTAGTGGCTGCACTAGTTGTATGATCCCCAGGGAGTTGAGATTGAAAATGCGATGAGCCGTTGAGACTGACATCCAATGATCGACGGAAAAACAAAGCGCTTTGTGCATGCATGTACATGGGATGGACTATATAATCATAGATTCTCAGTCCCAGCAATGAGTGAAGAATGGACGGCACTATTTCTTTAAATCTTTCACGTATCCCTCAACATAATGGAAACGGTTTAATTTTTCTGGAGCATAGTGAACACTTTATTTCAAGAAATCACAGCTGTGTATAATACACGTCATAACAAATATTGATGTTAATATTTTGCTTTCATGTTGTTTTTTGCCTTGTGTGCACACAATCCTCAAGAAATGATGGTTATAAGAACATTTTTGAGACAACAACTGGGATCGAGGGTGCAAAAAACAAAAAATGTTTCCCATACTGAGGGTTGTTGAATGTACCAGTACTGTACATCTACTTAATCTGAACAGAATACTGGCGGTTGTTGAATGTACCAGTACTGTACATCTATATCTGGAACAGAATACTGGCCGGTTGTTGAATGTACCAGTACTGTACATCTACTTATCTGAACAGAATACTGGCGGTTGTTGAATGTACCAGTACTGTACATCTACTTAATACTGAACAGAATACTGACGGTTGTTGAATGTACCAGTACTGTACATCTACTTAATACTGAACAGAATACTGAGGGTTGTTGAATGTACCAGTACTGTACATCTACTTAATACTGAACAGAATACTGAGGGTTGTTGAATGTACCAGTACTGTACATCTACTTAATACTGAACAGAATAATGAGGGTTGTTGAATGTCCCAGTACTGTACATCTAATATGGAACAGAATACTGAGGGTAGTTGAATGTACGGTACCAGTACTGTACATCTACTTAACACTGAACAGAATAAAGAGGGTTGTTGAATGTACCAGTACTGTACATCTACTTAATACTGAACAGAATACAGGTGGTTGTTGAATGTACCAGTACTGTACATCTACATAATACTGAACAGAATACTGAGGGTTGTTGAATGTACCAGTACTGTACATCTAATATGGAACAGAATACTCACGGTTGTTGAATGTTCCAGCACTGGGTGCCGTTCCACTAACCGATCTTAGCCCTACCCCAATCGTAAACCCCTAAAATCCCAATCTTAGCGTGACGTTACGATCGGCATACCGTTCCACTAACCAATCTTACCCAAGTCAATCGTAAAGTTAAGATTCAAAGTCTAAGTTGCTCATGACCAACTTAGGATAGCTAAAATCAATCGTACAGAAACCAAAATGGTGGCTTTCCTATTCTGTGTGCAAAATAAGAGCGAGCATTTCACCGTGGCGTCCCCTAAAGTCCCCATGAAATGAATTTGTATATTTCTGTGATGTAAACAAACACTGCACTGAAGCCTTACAAATGTCAGGCCAGTCTGACCACCGTCGTCATGGGAACACAACCCGGCCGTATCGGGTATAACACATTTGTACAACAATATTGCAGCGTCATGGTTAAGAATAACGACAGCCGTGAAGTGAACAATGTTCTGAAGCAAAAAAAAAAATATGTTTGATTTCACTGCGCATATTTGGTGGGGGATTCTAAAGGCAGGCCGCGTTATTCAAGACCACTGACAGATTCTACATACGTTATAGCCTCGTCACGCCTTGTTTATTCTGATTGACAAGGTTAAGGCACATATTAAAAGCTCTGACACAATTGACATTTTTAAAGTCCAGACTTAAAACCTGTTCTCTGTATATTACTTATAATCTCGGCTGTAAATATTCTCAAGTAAATTATCTGTACATAGCTTTCAGCATGCCCAAGGATGTGGAATAGGCACTATAAATATGCATTTATTATTATTATATTATGCTTGATACCCAGCGTTCTACGCACTTGCACCTGAAACCAAGGTGCTCACTACCCTAATATTTTGCTCTAGGTTTTTCTCCACGTTTACACTTGGTTGGAAAAATACCCATGAAGGCCCGAGGTTAGAATATTGAACTTCAATAACCCATGCTTGTCGTAGAAGAGGCCACTAACGGGATCGAGGTGGTCAGACTTCGCTGACTTGGTTGACACATGTCTTCGGTTCCCATTTCGCGAGATCGATGCTCATGCTGTTGATCATTGGATTGTCTGGTCAGACTTCGATTATTTATAGCTAAGATACATAGCGTTCACTAACATGAGCGCTCATGTTAGTGAAGCGCTATGCATCTTAGCTAGATTATTTACAGACCCCGCCATATAGCTGGACTATTGCTGAGTCTTGGCGTAAATCTAAACTCGCCTTAGTAAACTACTTTCTATCATTTGCCAGACTATGTAAAGGGGAGATAACTTCGTGCCTCGTGATTCCTCTATCTCATACGAAAGAGTCTCGATCTAAGCTTGGATCGGATCGTAAGATTGGGACCGCTAAGATCGCCCTAAAGATCGGGTTAGTGGAACGGGTGTAACTTTTAGCTAAGGCGATTGTAAAATTGGCGTAACTTGCTAAGATTGATCTTAGATAAGATCGGTTAGTGGAACGGCACCCTGTACATCTACTTAATATGGAACAGAATACTGAGGGTTGTTGAATGTTCCAGTACTGTACATCTACTTAATATGGAACAGAATACTGAGGGTTGTTGTACTGTACAACAGAATATTGGGGGTTGTGGTACTGTAAAACAGAATACTGAGGGTTGTTGAATGTTCCAATACTGTATATCTACTTAATACTGAACAGAATACTGAGGGTTGTTGTACTGTACAACAGAATATTGGGGGTTGTGGTACTGTAAAACAGAATACTGATGGTTGTTGAATGTTCCAGTACTGTATATCTACTTAATACTGAACAGAATACTGAGGGTTGTTGTACTGTACAACAGAATATTGGGGGTTGTGGTACTGTAAAACAGAATACTGATGGTTGTTGAATGTTCCAGTACTGTATATCTACTTAATACTGAACAGAATACTGAGGGTTGTTGTACTGTACTAACCGAATACTGAGGGTTGTTGTACTGTACTTGTAACAGAATACTGGGGGTTGTTGTACTGTACAACAGAATACTGAGGGTTGTTGTACTGTACAACAGAATACTGGGGGTTGTTGTACTGTACTTGTAACAGAATACTGGGGGTTGTTGTACTGTACAACAGAATACTGGGGGTTGTTGTATTGTACAACAGAATACTGGGGTTGTTGTACTGTACTTGTAACAGAATACTGGGGGTTGTTGTACTGTACAACAGAATACTGAGGGTTGTACTGTACAACAGAATACTGGGGGTTGTTGTATTGTACTTGTAACAGAATACTGGGGGTTGTTGTACTGTACTTGTAACAGAATACTGGGGTTGTTGTACTGTACTTGTAACAGAATACTGGGGTTTGTTGTACTGTACAACAGAATACTGGGGGTTGTTGTACTGTACTTGTAACAGAATACTGTGGGTTGTTGTACTGTACTTGTAACAGAATACTGGGGGTTGTTGTACTGTAAATTTGTAACAGAATACTGGGGTTGTACTGTACAACAGAATACTGGGGTTGTTGTACTGTACTTGTAACAGAATACTGAGGGTTGTTGTACTGTACAACAGAATACTGGGGGTTGTTGTACTGTACTTGTAACAGAATACTGGGGTTGTTGTACTGTACTTGTAACAGAATACTGGGGTTGTTGTACTGTACAACAGAATACTGGGGTTGTTGTACTGTACTTGTAACAGAATACTGGGGTTGTTGTACTGTACTTGTAACAGAATACTGAGGGTTGTACTGTACTTGTAACAGAATACTGGGGTTGTACTGTACAACAGAATACTGGGGTTGTTGTACTGTACAACAGAATACTGGGGGTTGTTGTACTGTACTTGTAACAGAATACTGGGGTTGTTGTACTGTACTTGTAACAGAATACTGAGGGTTGTTGTACTGTACAACAGAATACTGGGGTTGTACTGTACAACAGAATACTGGGGGTTGTTGTACTGTACTTGTAACAGAATACTGGGGGTTGTTGTACTGTACTTGTAACAGAATACTGGGGTTGTTGTACTGTACTTGTAACAGAATACTGGGGGTTGTTGTACTGTACAACAGAATACTGAGGGTTGTACTGTACAACAGAATACTGGGGGTTGTTGTACTGTACAACAGAATACTGAGGGTTGTTGTACTGTACAACAGAATACTGAGGGTTGTTGTACTGTACAACAGAATACTGAGGGTTGTTGTACTGTACAACAGAATACTGAGGGTTGTACTGTACCTGCAGGCTGGCCTGAACAGGAGGAGAAGTCATAGCTGAGCCTCCTCCTGACTACGGCAGTGTTGTTGATGAGGGCATAGTTGATGGTAGATTGTGTACAGTTTAGGTACATCTGTACACAAGAGCTGATGGATGGCATCATGCTGTAGAAACAAAAAAAAAACACATTTGATCCTGGCAATTGTGTAGCTTTGTTTGCAAATAAAGAAGTCGAATTTTAGGATTATTACAGGGATTCCATCAAAGTAATTTTGGCACATCGTCTTTCATATATATACCTGTCACACCCTATACACATACACACAGCTGTTACCTCGTCCTCGATAATGTCCAGGGTATACATTCCCATAACTCTCCACTATACCCTGGATGCATCTACGGCTCGGCCCGATGATTTTATTTATCCCTTTGCTGGCTCCCCATTCTCACAGTAGCCAATCAGATAAGCCACCGTTACAACCGAACATGCCAGTGTCAACAAAGATAGCGGTCGAAGCCACGAAAGGTTGTTCGCAGTGACACTCAGATTTTGGGGGAAAACATACAGACAAATTGACAGGTGTGAAACCTTAAAAAAATATATACAAGAACTCCTTCTACCCCTTTCAGAGTACCTCTGAAACAATATATTATGGTTTGCCAAGTTTATTCGGTTAGATAATTTAAAAAGCGAAAGTGAGTTGTGATTGGTACCCTCCACTTCCCAGTGTAGACACCTGATTGGATAAAAAGTCAACCAAGGGAGGTAATAATATCATCGGTCCAAGCCGTAAATGCACCCAGGGTATAGTGGAGAGTTATTGGAATGTATACCCTGGAGATTATCGAGGATGCTGTTACCTGCACTGGTCAATCATTAGTTGACTGGGCATACAGGCGGTGGAGCTGACTGCGTACACAGCCAGCAAGTAGGAGTCGTTGCAAAGTGGCTTCACGGTGTAGTTGTCCGATGCAGACACTGAAAAAGGTAATACACCTCATCACACTTGTGTCCAGTAGTATCAAACATACTTAGTGCATATATACATACATAAATACATTACAGGGCTTGATTTAGTGCTTCGTTACTTGCACTGGTGCAACCCAATATTACAAAGTGCAACTTAAGTTATTCGGTTACTTGCAAGTCAGTTTTTGAGAAATAAATCAACAATAATTCTAACATTACAAGCATAATTATGTCAGCTAATTTTTTTTCTGAACTTTGAATAATTCAATAGCATATTTCTTTTATTATATATCACGATAAATGCAGTTTTTATCTTAACATTAACATTCCATAAATCAAGCCCTGCATTATACATGTATATACAGCAGATACCCTGGTAGGAGTCTCTGGTCAAATGCAGTTCACTTGTTCTCTATGAATCTGTATGCATTTCAGTCATCATTATCAACTCCCTGGGGAGTATCCCACACAAGCAGCCTATGGGCTCTAGAGGGTTTTTACACCCACCAAACATATCAGGAACTCATAATCGACTGGGAGAACAATGCCGCATTTGAACTAAGCAACATATCCATGGTGGCACAACACATTTTGACAGTTGTGTTTAGTGTCTGGTCAATACCTGGTCATCTGTCCTCAAGTGAGTGGGGGTGCGGTGGGGTAGCCTAGTGGTTAAAGTGTTCGCTCGTCACGCCGAAGACCCGTGTTCGATTCCCCACATGGGCAAAATGTGTGAACAACATTTGTGGTGTTCCCTGCCATGATATTGCTTGAATATTGCAAAAAGCGGCGTAAAACCAAACTCACTCACTCACTCAAGTGAGTGTTTCCTTTTGAGTGTCTGGGCTGAATGTACTGGACACCAGTAGAGTGATCCCGTCACAAGGACACACTCTCTCGTCTTTGGGTAATAGAGGCCCATGTACACAATATTCCCATACTTGACAGAATAAGGGGCCCCCTAGCTGTACACACATCAATGAATTGCCACTGATTCCAAAACTTTTGATTGGCTAGCCAAACAATGGGGCCAGAACCACTAACAGATAATGGTTTCCTGACTGGGTGATGGCTTGTTCTGTTCTGCACTGAAACATTCACAGATTTTGTACTGTTGTCTTCAGTTTTTGTGCAATTTAAAAAGCAGTTTGTGGACTTACTGTCATATTTATGCATAAAAATTGTCTTTAATATGGTCCTTTTTGTCAACTCATTTACTCACTTTTATTTGGCATGAGCTGAAAGGTGGTAAAATGCCCAAGTGCACTAAAAACGATACCCCCTTGCCAGTGGGCATATCCTGACAATGAAGATCGATCTGTGACATCTAATTAATACACCAGTGATGAAAAGGCTGCCCAACTATTTCATGGTTACCATGGAGACAGTGTATGTATAAGTTGTGAAGATGTCCAGCAGGGTCAGACACAGCTGTTTGAGAAAGATGGGGTGCTCCATCGTTTTCACAAGAGTTTCAATGGTCATTTAATACACTTTCAGGACACCCTGCGCACCTGTGTCCAGTGTACATCTCTCTCCTCCCTACCACTATGATGAGAACAGTTACTTCTTTAGATGCAAGCAACTCAATCTAGTTGAATTGTTGAATTAGAAGCTTACCTGAACAGTTACTCAAGGTGAAGGTACTGCCAGACATCGTCAAGTAGGGGATGAGCATACCATGTATCTCGTCAAGGGAACAACGCACCCCTTCCATTTGGGACGCTTGTGTTGCACAGGCAAGTCCAGATTTGTAAAAGCTGAAGACAAAATACACAGGGAATAAAATATGGGAATGAGCGAGTGATGTTATGGGTCAGCTGTACGAGTGAACGAGTGAGTGAGTGAGTGAGTGAGTGAGTGAGTGAGTGAGTGAGTGAGTGAGTGAGTGAGTGAGTGGGTTAATGTTGCCCTGAACAGAATTCTACTTGTATCATTGCCTGTCATGTCTTGAGGGAGAAGATTTTGAAGTGATGCACCACTTTGGTGAAACCCATGACAAACTTGGAAAGTGGCCTAACTAATAGTCAAACCCACAATAGGTGATCAAGTGTGAGTTGTATGGATGAGTGAGTCATTGACTGGGTGAGTTGTATGGTGAGTGAGTCTATGGCTTGGTGAGTTGTATTGTTGAGCAAGTCAATGTTTGTGTGAGTTGAATGGGTCTGTGAGTCAATGTTTGTGTGAGTTGTATGGTGAGTGAGTCAATGACTGGGTGAGTTGTATGGGTGAGTGAGTCAATGTTTGTGTGAGTTGTATGGGTGAGTGTATGGGCCAGTCAACGGGAAGGTGTCAGCTGCATGGTTGATTGTGTGCGAGTCACCTGTAAAACCATTACATCCCAACATCCACTGGCTACTAATACATAATTCAAGCTTTCTATGGAAGTCTGATGAGATTATGCACAATTCTTCATAAGCTCTGTCAGAGAATAAACCATGGAATATAGTATAGGAAGCAATATAGCATAGTAATTGAGCCATAGCACATGCTGGGGTCTTCTTTCACTAGGCTCTGATGTGCAAAGTCTAAATGTTTAAAAAAATATATGGATGGAATAGAATTTGCCATGGACAAGGGCTTCCATATTTCATCCATTTTGTTAATCAGGACCTAGATTTTCAAAGCTCTCTTAGTGTTAAGATCATCGTAAGTGCCATACATTAACATTAACTTATAATTATCTGAGCGCTAAGAGAGCTTCGAAAATCTAGGCCCAGGAATATATCAAACATGTCTTATAGACTGATGGCAGCAGATTACTCATCATGTGTTTCTATGTTGACAGATTCCAACATCTCTATATGAAGCTATATATTACAGCAGTCTAAGTTAACTTAGGCTCACTATTATTCGTTACACTGCTACTTTGAGTGTAACAAAACCTAGAAGGTTGTGTCTACTAGGGTTTGTTAGACTCAGTATGAGGCAGTGTAACGAATAATATTGAGCTTAGACTGTATATTACAGAGAAGAGACTACATGCATTATAGACAGATTCTTCACACTGTATGCAGGAGTTTTTCCTCGACTCAAAAACATGGGTGCCCTGGAGAACCCCAATCATTAGTCTTAGGGTCCTTTGACTGACTGACTGAGTTTGGTTTTACGTCGCTTTTAGCAATATTCCAGCAACATCACGGCGGGGGACACCAGAAATGGGCTTCACACATTGTGCCCATGTGGGGATTCAAACCCAGGTCTTCGGCGTGACGAGCCAACGCTTTAACCATTAGGCTACCCCACCGCCCCTAGGGTCCTTTGAAGGAACAGAGTAGAGAACTGTGTTTGATAATATCTTAGAGAATGTAATGATTAATTGATCATAAGGACTGATGGATGAAATGATGCATGTTAACTGCTCTGAAAGAGGCAGCCAACACCTAGCAGAGTCATAGATGTGTTGTCGGTACAGTGAATAATATTGTGCATCCTTCTGGACGCAGTGAATTTTTTTTCAGCCTCTATTCTCTACATTTGTGCATACAAGACCCACATTTGTGATGCACATAAAACCCTGGTGTGTCTATTCTTCAAGTTTATCATCTGTGAATTGTAGTTTACCTGCACTTGTCAGCATCTGACACAGTACTGTTCATCATCATGAAAGGCTGGAAGCAGGTCTGTATCACCTTCACCAACACCTGGGACTTGCTGAGTAGACTGGAGCAAGCGTTGCTGCCTGTCAAACACACAATAGCAGTCAAATCTAAATAATGTGTATATTTGTATCATAGAGCTCAGGTCACAAATCAGATGAAGCAATGTTGGGAGTGTAGAGTCCTTGGATGGGTGACCGTGTTTGGCAGCTTGACTCCTGAGAGTTTCTAGGACTTCAGTCCTGCCCCACAATGAAGCACATGTGATACATGTGGTCTTACCTAAGGCAAGTGAGCTTGTTAAAAACTGCCTCTGTTCACCCACAGAAAAAAAAATAGGTACCCGGTGGGATAAGTCATGTGACTATAACCTTCTAGCACCTCACAGGCAGCTTGGGTTATCTGGGATAAACTTTGTGATGTGCCATTGAGTTGGATACTAGGCGCCATAGAAATCTATTATCATTAATCATTATTATCCTACATTACTCCTTACTGCATTTACTGCTTCTTATTGACAGAAACATATATAGCTGTTCCAATGTGACAGGAGGTGATGTAGTCTTGTATAATCACCTTACTACTTGTCACCATATTGAACAGCCTGTAAATATAGAGCTGATACAACATTTTTTATTTCTACTGTTTGCGTGTCATTAGTATTTTTTACTCATTTGTTAAAAACAGAACATATTTATGTAGTAGTGTGTAAAGCAGTGGCTCCACAACCATTAGTATTGCCTGCTACAGCTTCTCATGGTGTTTGACCCCTGAAGATCCGGGTTAGAACTGATCTTCAGTAACCCATCGTTAAAGGCGACTAAAGGGAGGGATCACTGACTTGGTTGACACTGATGCATTGCATCCCATTTCGTAGATGTCATGTTGTTGATCACGGGATTGTCTGTTGTTGATCAGGGATTGTCTGTCAGACCAATTCAAGCAATTTTACAACAATAAAAATACACACTGCCTCTGACCTAGTCTTTAATTTGTGAAAACAATATTGTGACCACTTGACCAACACTTATATATAGCTGCAGAACATACAATGTGAGTAAATATTTAGATGAAGTATCTACAGTGCAGTTTTTAAGTGAAGTATCTCATTGTTATCCAGAGTCCATACAAACTCATAAGTGGGTGGATAATAATATATGGACATTTGTAGAGCCGCAGTATAGTAGTAACTCCACACCTCAAGGGCATGCTCTTTGGCGCAACAGCAAAATATGTACACTATATACAGGAAGAAGTTTTATAAGATTTAGTTGTGCTTGAACAAGAATGTTTTGAGTCTTGATTTAAAGATGGAGATTGAAGGAGACGACTTGACATGGAGAGGTAGTGAGTTCAGGAGGGAAGCTGAGTGAACGCTGAAAGATCTGCCGCCAAAAGATTGCAACTTTGGGACACTGAGAAGTCCTTTGGATGTGAGGAGTGGGTGGGTGGTGAAGTGGGTGGGTGGAGGAGGAGTGAGTGGGTGGGGTGAGGGAGGGAGGGAGGTGGTTGGGTGTGGGTGAGTGAGTGGAGTGAGTGAGTGAGGGCTGGTGGGTGGGCTGGGAGTGAGTGAGTGAGAGAGTGAGTGAGCGAGGGTTGGTGGGTGAGTGGGTGAGTGAGTGCATGGGAGAGTGGGTAGGTGGGTGAGGAGGGTGGGGGGATGAGTGAGGGCTGGTGGGTGAGAGTGAGTGAGTGAGTGAGTGAGCTAAATAATACAGGAATAAAGCCTGAAATGTTGCAGGCTATAGAAGTGTACAGAAGGTTACATGGTGCTGAAAACCGAGACACACAATCTGGGCAACCCTGGGATTCAAACCCACAATCATGCTCTGTCACTCAGACACCTATTCCCCAACAATGGAGACTGCACAGATTCAAATCATCTCATCCTTCAAACTTGAACACAATTATGCATTATATTTACCATCAAATTCGCAGGTAGGCTTATTGTTTATCTGTACAACAGATCTTTGCTCATCAAAGTTTGTATACTAACTGTTCCATGCCAAATGATTTATTTTAGAAAAGGTGCATCTGTTTTAGCATTTGCTTACGATTATAAACAAATCTATTAGTTTTGTTGTTACATTTAATGATGTAAAACTCTAGTGGTGATAATATCAGATGTCTGTACACATTCATCTCCACTTATAGGTCCGACTCCTATTTCTCGGGTTTCCTATTCTCGGATAAATATGTTTTCTGCGAAATCGCCGATGCATGGCATTTGGCGGTTGTTTACATCATCGACTGGTAACTAAGAAGTGGACCAAGTCGGTGAATGATCAAAATCTTGCAGTGTCACGAATATTGGGGAGTGTACACCAACTTGGACATATCATTACGTTTTCCCGCCCTTTACAGCAGGATGACTCTTACATACACTCTATAACGTTAATTCCTGGTAATACCGCGAGAATAGGAGAAGCCTCATTTCGTCAATGGCGGATGGCATTGTTTATCACCGGGTTCACGAGTGGTAATTCACCTGATGGATCTGGCAGCTGATAGATGTAGATGTTAGAGGAGAAGGCCCTTCATTTAATAACAAAAAGCATTCATAATGATAAGAATTGTTTGTGTTATTTCTTCAGCCGATATCCGTAAGTACCCACGAGGAAAGGAAACGCCTTCCTACCTTCATTTGGACGGTGACACTTGGAGAAGTTATAACCTGTCCGTTGTTGGATAACCTGGGAACTGTTGATGACTGCAAGGCCATAGATCCTGGAGGCTGGACACTTGACAAGCAGTTGTACACATGACACCGAGCCATTCAGCAACCTAGAGCAGGCAGATTGGAACAGGGTATCACACAAATGACATTCACAAATATCTTAAGCTGAGAACTTCAGAAACTGATCTATTGACCATGCATTGGTGCATTGGGGTTCAAAATACTTGAGGTGAATTCATGTTGGAAGCTGTTAGCCTCGAAGTTTCAATTATCGATTTCAGGCAAGTCATAATGGATAATACGTCTTTTATTGCATCAATAGGTTAAAGTGAGTGCATATGCCCCAATATATATAATATAGGCCAAAATACTGTCGAAAAGGTGTGACATTGTGCCTTTAACTTCCAGGTGTATGAGGGCTGCCTCATTATATGGATGAGTGAGTGAGTTCAGTTTTATGCCATTTGTGGAAATATTCCAGCAATATTAAAGTGTAACATATGTTATATTTGGGATTACATTTTCAAAGGCATTACAGAGATAAAGCGATTGACTGGTGTAAATGGCAGCCATGTTGGGAATGATTGTCACTGTCTAATCCAGCACCCTGTTTAAATCGGCATTTACTTTCGGTCCCGGGTTGCTGGTTTAGACAGGTTTCATTGTATTAACTTCAAAAACATAAATCTGCATGAGGAAGAAGTCCACCACTTACATGCATGGATCCAGAGGAGAACCTGGTGGAAAACATATGGACTGTGCTGAATACATAGCCAGCAGGCGGGGGTCCTCACACAGGGCTTCGCATGCTGAAGTTGCCCATGGGAGCCACAGACACAAACAAATAATCATCCAGTAGCCACATTGTGTCTGTAGGCAGGTCTACACAGGCGGAGGTTTCACTACATTTTGTATTACCAAACAACAACTTTCATTGTGTTCAATTCTGTGAATACCACTGTTCATCATAGTCATAATCTTGTATTTTGAAACAATTTCATTGCCATTGAAGATCCGGGTAGAATTGGTCTTCAGCAACCCAGCTTGCCACAAAGGCTTACACTATGCATGCTTGTCGCAAGAGGCTAACTAACGGGATCGGTGGTCAAGCCATGCTGACTTGGTTGACATCGCCATCGGTTCCTTAACTGCGCAGATCGATGCTCATACTGTTGATCACTGGATTGTCTAGTCCAGACTCGATTATTTACAGACCGCCATATAGCTGGAATATTGCTGAGTGCGGGCGTAAAACTAAACTCACTCACTCACTCCAATTCCATTGCTACAACAATTCACCATCCAAGGACCATTCCAATGCAGAGAAAATTCAGTATTCAATTTGAGTAGACAGAAGCAGATAGGGAGTAGACAAGAGGAAATGATTAGACTAAGAGTAGATTGAGCAGATAGGAGAAGATGAGCAGACAATGAGTAGATTGAGCAGATAGGAGTAGATGATGAGCAGACAATGAGTAGATTGAGCAGATAGGAGTAGATGATGAGCAGACAAGAGGAGATGATAAGATTATGACCAGGCCATAAGTAGGCATGATTACCCAGTAAACATAAACGCATGATGAGCAGACTATTTGTACACCATGCTGAGTCAGAATAAATCATCGACCATAGCAGGCCATCAGTGGCTCCCTGTATTAGTCCAGACCTAAGTTATATCCAATAAACCAGTGAAGCAGTCGTGACACATGCGTAGACATAGTGAGAGAGTGAGTTTAGTTTTACCGCCGACTCAGCAATATTCCAGCTATATGGCTTAAAGTCAGTAAATAATCGGGTCTGGACCAGACAATCCAGTGATTAACAGCATGAGCATCGATCTGCGCAATTAGGAATCGATGACATGTTTCAACCAAGCCAGAGAGCCTGACCACCCGATCCTGTAAGTCAGCCTCTGCAACAAGCATGGGTTACTGAAGGTTCATTCTAACCCGGAACTTCAAGGGTCAGGTGTAGACATAGAATAAACATGATGAGACCATCAGCATACAATGAGTTCACAAGAGTACCCTTGACATTGGCTGTAGTCAGGGACTGACATGTTTGAAACGGACCTCACTAAGCTGAAGTATGAGTTTATCTGGGCAGAAAGTTCCATAAATGAACAGTTATAGTGGCTCTTCCGGAAATTCCTTCCCTTGCACACGCAACTGATGCAGCATACAGCCTGCAATAGTGAAAAACACAGATGTTACCTACATTTGCTGGTCTGATTCACAAAAGCTGGGAAACCTATGCATTAAATATGTTTCTGTTTGAGTAAATTTGAACATTATTACCAGACAGGTCTTTTATTACAGGAGTGAGGAGGCAATCGGGGGACTTTGTTAAAGAATCAGACATGCAAGAAGGAGAGGAGTGCCCAGTTAATGGAAGGATCAGACATGTGGGAGGAGTGCCCACTTAGTGGGAGGATCAGACATGTGGGAGGAGTGCCCACGTTAGTGGGAGGATCAGACATGTGGGAGGAGTGCCCACTTAGTGGGAGGATCAGACATGAGGGAGGAGTGCCCACTTAGTGGGAGGATCAGACATGTGGGAGGAGTGCCCACTTAGTGGGAGGATCAGAGACATGAGGGGAGGTGCGCCCACTTAGTGGGAGGAGGAGGGAGGATCAGACATGTTGGAAGGAGTGCCCAGTTAATGGAAGGATCAGACATGTGGGAGGAGTGAACACTTAGTAGGAGGATCAGACATATGGGAAGAAGCCCAGTTAGTGGGAGGATCAGACATGTGGGAGGAGTGGAACACCAGTGGGAGGAGTCAAACATGTGGAGGAGGAACACCAGTGGGAGGACTGATCAGACATATGGGAGGAGTGCAGAGTTAGTGGAAGGATCAGACATGTGGAGAAGTGCTTAGCAGGAGGAGGACATGTGGGAGGAGTGAACACTTGAGTGGGAGGATCATAAGTGGGAGGAATGCCCACTTGAGTGGGAGGACCAGACATGTGGGAGGAGTCCATACTTAGTGGGAGGACCAGACATATGGGAGGACCAGCTAGTGGGAGGAGTGGAGACATGGCACGGAGGAGTGCCCCACTTGCAGTGGGAGGATCAGACATGTGGAGGAAGACCCAACTCCGTGAGGAGGACATGTGGGAGGAGTGCCCACAGTGGAGGACCAGACATGGGTGGAGCACCCACTGGGGAGGACCAGACATGTGGGAGGAGTGCCCACTGAGTGGGAGGGATCAGACATGTGGGAGGAGACACTTAGTGGGAGGATCAGACATGTGGGAAGAGGCCAACCAGTGGAGGACAGACATGTGGGAGCACGCACACTTGAGTGGGAGGATCAGACATGGAGGAGTGCACCAACATGGAGGAGGAGGACCGCCCACGGACATGTGGAGGAGTGAACACCCAGTGGGAGGATCGAACACATGTGGAGAGGGAGCCCAGAACACTTAGTGGGAGGACCAGACTGGTGGGAGGGAACACTTGGTGGGAGGATCAGACACATGGAAGGAGTGAACACCAGTGGGAGGATCAGACATGTGGGAGGAGTGGAAGGACCAGACATGTGGGAGGAGTGCCAAGGTAGTGGAGATCAAGACATGTGTGGGAGGAGTGCGAGGGTGCAGTGGGAGGATCAAACGTGGGAGGAGTGAGCACTTAGTAGGAGGATCAAACATGTGGGAGGAGGAACACTTAGTGGGAGGATCCAGGCGTGGGAGGAGTGCCCACAGTAGGAGGATCAGACATGTGGGAGAAGTGAACACTTGGTAGTGGGAGGACCAGACACATGGGGAGGAGTGCAGACCAGTGGGAGGATCAGACATGTGGAAGGGCCCAGTGCTTGGGAGGACCAGACATGTTGGAGAGAATGGAGCACTTGGTGGGAGGATCATAGGTGGGAGGAGTGCACTTGGTGGGACCAGACATATGGAGGAGTGCCCAAGCTAGTGGGAGGACCAGACATGTGGGAGGAAGCAAAAGCTGGTGGGAGGCCCAGACATGTGTGGAGTGACCCAGACAGTGGAGGAGTCAGACATGGTAGGAGGACCCAGACATGTGGAGGAAGACCCCCTGGGAGGACCCCTTTTTAGGAGTGCCCGCGTTGAGTAGAGAGGATCAGATCACATGGGTGGGAGCAGACACGGAGGAGGATCAGACATGTGGGATGAGTGCCCACTTGAGTGGAGGACCAGACATGTGTGGGAGGAGCTAATACTTGATGGGAGGATCCAGACATGTGGGAAGAGGCCAACAGTGGGAGGACTGTGAGACATGTGGAAAGTAAGCGCACAGTGGAGGACATGTGACATGTGGGAGGAGTGCACAACCCAGTGGGAGGATCAGACATGTTGGAGGCGCACACACTTAGTTGGAGGACCAGACATGTAGGAGGACACACTTCCAGTAGGAGGATCAGACATGTGGAGGAGACACCAGTGGGAGGACCAGACATGGAGGAGGGGCACTTAGTGGAGGACAACATGTGGGACTTAGGAGGCCAGACATGTGGGAGGACCAGACATGGAGGCACACCATGGGAGACGCACACATAGTGGAGGAGATCACACAGTGGAGGACACATGGACAGTGGAGGATCCAGACATGGAGGGAGGAGGCACACCCAGTGGAGGACCAGACATGTAGGAGGAAGGCGCACACAGTGGAGGACCAGACATGTGGAGGAGGCACGACTTGAGTGGGAGGAGGACCAGACATGTGGAGGAGGGCAGTGGAGTGGAGGAGTGACAGTGGACCAGTGGAGGACACACTTATGGAGGACCAGACATGTGGAGGAGCACACACACAGTGGGGAGGACCAGACATGTAGGAGGAGGGCACACTTAGTGGGAGGATCAGACATGTAGGAGGAGGAGCACACTTAGTGGGAGGACCAGACATGTGGAGGAGAGGCACACTTAGTGGGAGGACCAGACATGTAGGGAGGAGGCACACTTAGTGGAGGATCAGACATGTAGGAGGGAGCACACTGAGTGGGAGGATCAGACATGTGGAGGAGGAGCCACACTTAGTGGAGGATCAGACATGTGGAAGAGGGCCAACTTAGTGTGGAGGACCAGACATGTGGAGGAGAGACACCAGTGGGAGGACCAGACATGTGGAGGAGGAAGCCAACTTAGTAGGAGGATCAGACATGTGGAGGAGTGGAACACTTAGTGGGGAGGACCCAGGACATGTGGGAGGAGTGACAGTAGGTGGGAGGATCAGAACATGGAGGAGGACTTGAGTGGGAGGATCCAGGTGGGAGGGAGGATTGAACACTTAGTGGGAGGACTCAGACATGTGGAAGGAGTGAACACTTAGTGGGGAGGATCCAGACATGTGGGAGGAGTGGAAGGATCAGACATGTGGGAGGAGTGCCAAAGGTAGGTGGAGGATCCAGACATGTGGGAGGAGTGCCCAGTTAGTGGGAGGATCAAACGTGGGAGGAGTGAGCACTTAGTAGTGGAGGGATCAAACATGTGGAGGAGTGAACACTTAGTGGGAGGGATCAGACGTGGGAGGAGTGCCCAGTTAGTGGGAGGATCAGGCGGTGGGAGAAGTGAACACTTGGTGGGAGGATCAGACATATGGGGGAGGAGTGCAGAGTTAGTGGGAGGATCAGACATGTGGAAGGAGGGAGGGCCCAGTTAGCAGGAGGATCAGACATGTTGGAGGAGTGAACACTTGAGTGGGAGGATCACGCATAAGTGGGAGGAGTGCCCACTTAGTGGGAGGATCAGACATATGGGAGGAGTGCCAAGCCAGTGGGAGGATCAGACATGTGGGAGGAGTGCCAAGCTAGTGGGAGGATCAGACATGTGGGAGGAGTGCCCAGAGTGGGAGGATCCAGACATGTGGGAGGAGAGACCCACCTGGGAGGATCAGACCCCTCTTTTGGAGGAGTGCCCACTTAGTGGGAGGATCAGACATGTGGGTGGAGCACCCACTGGGGAGGATCAGACATGTGGGAGAGTGCCCACTTGAGTGGGGAGGATCAGACATGTGGGAGGAGCTAATACTTAGTGGGAGGATCAGACATGTGGGAAGAGAGGGCCAACTTAGTGGGAGGATCAGACATGTGGGAGTAAGCGCACACTTAGTGGGAGGATCAGACATGTGGGAGGAGTGCCAACTTAGTGGGAGGATCAGACATGTTGGAGGAGGCGCACACTTAGTTGGAGGATCAGACATGTAGGAGGAGCGCACACTTGAGTGGGAGGATCAGACATGTAGGAAGAGCATACTTGAGTGGGAGGATCAGACATGTGGAGGAGGGCACACTTAGTGGGAGGATCAGACATGTGGGAGGAGTGCCAACTTAGTGGGAGGATCAGACATGTGGGAGGAGCGCACACTTAGTGGGAGAGATCAGACATGTAGGAGGGGCGCACACTTAGTGGGAGAGATCAGACATGTAGGAGGAGCGCACACTTAGTGGAGGATCAGACATGTAGGAGGAGCGCATACTTGAGTGGAGGATCAGACATGTAGGAGGAGCACACACTTAGTGGGAGGATCAGACATGTAGGAGGAGCGCATACTTAGTGGGAGGATCAGACATGTGGAGGAGGGGCACACTTAGTTGGAGGATCAGACATGTGGAGGAGGGCACACTTAGTGGGAGGATCAGACATGTAGGAGGAGGCGCATGCTTAGTGGGAGGATCAGACATGTAGGGAGGAGGGGCACACTTAGTGGGAGGATCAGACATGTCGAGGAGGGCACACTTAGTGGGAGGATCAGACATGTGGAGGAGGGCACACTTAGTGGGAGGATCAGACATGTAGGAGGAGCGCATACTTAGTGGGAGGATCAGACATGTAGGAGGAGGGCACACTTAGTGGGAGGATCAGACATGTAGGAGGAGGGGCACACTTAGTTGGAGGATCAGACATGTAGGAGGAGCGCACACACTTAGTGGGAGGATCAGACATGTAGGAGGAGCGCATACTTGAGTGAAAAGGATCAGACATGTGGAGGAGGGCATACTTAGTGGGAGGATCAGACATGTGGAGGAGGGCATACTTAGTGGAGGATCAGACATGTAGGAGGAGGGCACACTTAGTGGGAGGATCAGACATGTGGAGGAGGGCACACTTAGTTGGAGGATCAGACATGTAGGAGGAGGCACACACTTAGTGGGAGGATCAGACATGTAGGAGGAGCGCATACTTAGTGGAGGATCAGACATGTAGGAGGAGGGCACACTTAGTGGGAGGATCAGACATGTGGAGGAGGGCATACTTAGTGGGAGGATCAGACATGTGGAGGAGGGCATACTTAGTGGAGGATCAGACATGTAGGAGGAGGGCACACTTAGTGGGAGGATCAGACATGTGGAGGAGGGCACACTTAGTTGGAGGATCAGACATGTAGGAGGAGCGCATACTTAGTGGAGGATCAGACATGTAGGAGGAGCGCATACTTAGTGGAGGATCAGACATGTAGGAGGAGGGCACACTTAGTGGGAGGATCAGACATGTGGAGGAGGGCATACTTAGTGGGAGGATCAGCCATGTGGGAGGAAAGTTCTCCGTTACACATACCTGCACACACCAGAAGAGTTGAAATTCGTTGCGTTCAATGCCATGGTGAAAGTTAGGCAGTTGGTAACCACATCAACTAAACCTGAATATTCCACCAAGGGGACGCAGGCTTTCACTGTATCATTTCCACCTGTAATCAGTAAAGTATGTACACATCTTGAATATTTTCTTGCATAATGCTGCTTGTGTAACTAATTATAAAGCCTACTCTGTGAAAAAGTTGATAATCATTCGATCTAAACCTGTGATCCCACACCTCTGAAACTTCATGGAGAGTTGGATAAGGGGAGAGAAAGGAAACTTCTCCTGAAAAGCCACCCCAAACCAACCCCTTCTAACTGGACATTACCCAAGATCTAAAGCCTAATACCTATTGTGTTTCCTACTTCTACTTTTCCCCCAACCCAGCCTACACTAATATACGGAACCTAGCACCCCTCTACATAAAACCTAACATTCCACTCTGTAAACGGGGAGGGAATGATCCTGAAGCAGGACCTCGGGACAGAGATATTCCCTGATGTTGCTCAGATGATGGAAAGCTAGACACTGAATCCAGAGAGCCAGATCATTCATATAGCTCTAGAATGACCTCTGACATGGGTCAAAGTTCATCTACTGATGACGGACGTCTCCGCCATTCAGAGGCTACCCAACATATATTTAGCCCAACCACGTGGCCTACCCATTGTATCTAGCACTAAGATGAACGGTTACCTAGTCAAGAAGTTGTCTGTTAGTAGAGCAAGTGAAACATTGAGCTACAAGACTATCTGGTAGACAGTTATTCTATATGTGGTACGTAGTGTTTGAATATCCCGTTATGAAGCCCTGCCCCCTGCTTACTCTACAATTTAACCAAGTTTTCCTACACACTTCCTGGGGAGGTGAACACAACAGTCATGTATGTTACCTAGTTTGTTAATTTCAATGGTAAGGAGTAGGGAAGCAGGGAATTAAAGTCAGCTATCAGTCACACTGCTGAAACACTTTTTATAAGGAAAGCTGACTAAACAAATACAGGTCAATATTAACATTGTCAAAACTAAGCCTAACTATTCCACATTTCATAGTTAAACAAAGAAGCAAAGTTTTATTTACTTGACATTCTTGACTCGCACTGGAATCCTGTGTATCCATCGTTACAGTAACAGTAGATCATGTCACCACTCCGCATACAACTTCCTCCATTGTAACATGGGCGAGAGCATGAACCTGGAAGCAGACAGTTTAGATACCTAGCATTGGAATCTGTGTGGACATTGGTTCTTAATAACAGCATATCGACACCTCTGATTGCTCAAATGATGATGCCATGACAGTGGGATATTAGTCTCAATTTGCTGATTTTGTTCATCATCATCATCATCATCATCATCATCATCATCATATAACTTTGACGGAACACATTTTTTTTCACACATACATGGGTACAGCTGTTAAGGGTTTGCAGGTGAGGGGAAATGGGGTTTAACCTCGTACTTAAGAATATTTAACTCATATGACATCCATGTGTGTGTATATGCAGCTGCTTGTACTAGTGTAGACTTAAGCTGTTTTATGGTGCTAGCTCACTGAGATACCATGCCGCAGTTAAGCATGAATACCTCACTCAGACACATTATACTAACTCTGAGCGGACCAGTCCTTCTTGTACCCATTAATTTAAAAGCGCCAGGCAGGAACCAACAAGTACCATATTTTAATGATTTTTGGTATGACGCAGCTGGGGATCGAACCCACAATATTCCGCTCTCCGGGTGGACGCTCTAACCACTACACCACGGAGACAGTCCCAAAGGGTTTGGAACCTAAATGGAGAGTTCCATAGATATCAGATCCCATGTCAAATTGAAATATGTCACCAGCATTTACGTTTCTTGTCAAATGGATCACTATCACAAACACTGTAGACATTAACATATATAAAAGTATCTGATACGTCATCGTTAACATAAACAGATATACAGCATACTTACTGTTGGTTGAATGGGAGCTGTGCTGACAACGGTAGCCATAGTAACCTTGGTGACACATACATCTGTTGTTGGCACAGTAACCATTGTTACACTCAGTATTGTACGTGCAGTAGCCAGTAGAATCTGAAAATATTCCAGTTCCCTCATGAGTACATGTACATTATATTTGTCTTTAGCAACACGAATATGTAAGAACTGGAAAGGTGGACACAACAGCTTTGTATGTTACACACTCAGGGAGGTGGACACAACACCCATGTATCCCAAACTTACTGGAAGGTGGACACAAGTCATATATGTTACACTTACTGGGAGGTGAACACAAAAGTCAGCTATGTTAACGCTTACTGGGAGGTGAACACAACAGTCATGTATGTTACACTTACTGGGAGGTGGACACAACAGTCATGTATGTTACACTTACTGGGAGGTGGACACAACAGCCATGTATGTTACACTTACTGGGAGGTGGACACAACAGCTATGTATGTTACACTTACTGGGAGGAGGACACAACAGCCATGTATGTTACACTTACTGGGAGGTGGACACAACAGCCATGTATGTTACACTTACTGGGAGGAGGACACATCAGCTATGTATGTTAAACTCTAGGGAGGTGGATACAACAGCTATATATGTTACACTTACTGGGAGGAGGACACAACAGCCATGTATGTTACACTAACTGGGATGTGGACAAAATAGTCATGTATGTTACACTTACTGGGAGGTGGACACAACAGTCACGCATGTTACACTTACTGGGAAGGTGGATACAACAGCCATGTATGTTACACTTACTAGGAGAAGGACACATGAGCCGTGTATGTTACACATACTGGGAGGTGGACACAACAGTCATGTATGTTACACTGTAGGGAGGAGTACACAACAGTCATGTATGTTACATTTACTGGGAGGTGGACACAACAGTCATGTATGTTACACTCTAGGGAGAAGGACACATACAGTAGAGAGGTGGATACAACAGTCATGTATGTTACACTCTAGAGAGGTGGATACAACAGCCATGTATGTTACGCTCTAGGGAGGTGGACACAACAGCCATGTATGTTACACTTACTGGGAGGTGGACACAACAGCCATGTATGTTACACTTACTGGGAGGTGGACACAACAGCCATGTATGTTACACTTACTGTGAGGTGGACACAACAGTCATGTATGTTACACTTACTGGGGGGTGGACACAACAGTCATGTATGTTACACTTACTGGGGGGGTGAACACAACAGCCATGTATGTTACACTTACTCGGAGATGGACACAACACCCATGTATGTTACACTCTCAGGGAGGTGGACACAGCCATGTACGTTACACTTACTGTGATAGTAGACAGGTTGTTGACAAGTGTGACCACATCCATTAGAGCAGCACTTCTCTACTCCAGTACAGTTTGCATCAGATGTGCAGGCCTCCACACAGATGCCCATCATTGTGCTGTTCCTCGGTGGGCACATACCTGTCTTGTCTGCAATGGTATATATCGATGAACTTCTTACCTATGAAAGCTTATGATATTCAGATATGGCATTTACATCTCTTCCATCACTCAAATTGTGACTACTCTTCAATCATATACATCCAGAATCATACTTAATCATTTCACACATTATGATCAGCAATCTCTTATCAGTTTTCATTTCACATAGTATACAGTTCACTTTTCCAAACAAAACTTCAAGAATATTTACTGATGTTTGGCATCCATGTCTCGCACATGTATCCTGTATAACTTGGAGGACACATGCAGGAGCTAGAGTTTCCCATACGGTAGCAGGATCCCCCATTGTAGCAAGTCATGTTTTGACAAGGATCTGAAAAAATAATGTGTAAGATACCTAAATGGACTCAACGGCCATATATGTTACACTTATAAACTGGGAGGTGGACTCAACAGCCATACATGTTACACTTACTGTGAGGTAGGCACAACAGCCATGTATGTTACACTTCATGGAGAGGGGGACACAACAGCCATACATGTTACACTTACTGGGAGGTGGACACAACAGCCAAATATGCTACACTTACTTGGAGGTGGACACAACAGCCATATATGTTACACTTACTGGGAGGTGGGCACAACAGCCATGTATGTTACACTTACTGGGAGGTGGACACAACAGCCATGTATGTTACACTTACTGGGAGGTGAACACAACAGCCATGCATGTTACAATTACTGGGAGGTAGGACACAACAGTCATGTATGTTACACTTACTGGGAGGTGGACACAACAGTCATGCATGTTACACTTACTGGGAGGTGGACACAACAGTCATGTATGTTACACTTACTGGGAGGTGGACACAACAGCCATGTATGTTACACTTACTGCTGGGGAGGTGGACACAACAGCCATGTATGTTACACTTACTGGGAGGTGGACACAACAGTCATACATGTTACACTTACTGGGAGGTGGACACAACAGCCATATATATTACACTTACTGGGAGGTGGACACAACAGTCATGTATGTTACACTTACTGGGAGGTGGACACAACAGTCATGTATGTTACACTTACTGGGAGGTGGACACAACAGTCATGTATGTTACACTTACTGGGAGGTGGACACAACAGTCATGTATGTTACACTTACTGGGAGGTGGACACAACAGTCATGTATGTTACACTTACTGGGAGGTGGACACAACAGCCATGTATGTTACACTTACTGGGAGGTGGACACAACAGTCATGTATGTTACACTTACTGGGAGGTGGACACAACAGTCATGTATGTTACACTTACTGGGAGGTGGACACAACAGTCATGTATGTTACACTTACTGGGAGGTGGACACAACAGTCATGCATGTTACACTTACTGGGAGGTGGACACAACAGTCATGTATGTTACACTTACTGGGAGGTGGACACAACAGTCATGTATGTTACACTTACTGGGAGGTGGACACAACAGTCATACATGTTACACTTACTGGGAGGTGGGTACAACAGCCATGTATGTTACACTTACTGGGAGGTGGGCACAACAGCCATGTATGTTACACTTACTGGGAGGTGGGCACAACAGCCATGTATGTTACACTTACAGGGAGGTGGACTCAACAGTCATGCATGTTACACTTACTGGGAGGTGGACACAACAGTCATGTATGTTACACTTACTGGGAGGTGGACACAACAGTCATGTATGTTACACTTACTGGGAGGTGGACACAACAGTCATGTATGTTACACTTACTGTGATAGTAGACAGGTTGTTGACAAGTGTGACCACATCCATTAGAGCAGCACTTCTCTACTCCAGGACAGCTGGCATCAGATGTGCAGGCCTCCATACAGGTGCCCATCATGGTGCTGTTCCTCGGTGGGCACATACCAGTCCTGTCTGCAACGGTATATGTAGCCATTAACGTCTGAAGGCACCATGAAAGTTTTATGATATTCAGATTTGTCTTTTAAATCTCTTCCATGATTTATAACTCAAATTGTTTGTGGACTTACAGCAACGAAGACTCTTCCATCATACACATCCAGAATCATATTAAATCATTTCATGCTATGATGAGCAATCTCTTATCAGTTTTAATTTCACATAGTATACAGTTCACTTTTACCAACAAAACTTCAAGAATATTTACTGATGTTTGGCATCCATGTCTCGCACATGTATCCTGTATAACTTGGAGGACACATGCAGGAGCTAGAGTTTCCCATACGGTAGCAGGATCCCCCATTGTAGCAAGTCATGTTTTGACACAGATCTGAAAACAGAATGTGTAAAACATCTCAGGGCTGATACATTTGATCACACAATACACAGTATAAACAAAGTGTGCACATCAAAGGCACAGATAAAATCATCAATCACCCTGTGTTCAAGAAATACCTTTAGGGAGAAATTAAAAAACAACAACAGACCTTCAAGACACAAAATCTCCAAAAAGGAAACTTCAATGACACAGATTTGTAACTTTGGATATAAACCTACTGTGGACTTTGATACCTCTAGATAATATTTGTACATATTACATAGACCATTTCATTATGGAGTACAATTGCAAATCAGATGTAAGCACCATTTCACAAAGACGAATCCAGGAACTTTGCCCACAAGGACTTCCACACAGGAACTTTCCACACAGGAACTTTGCCCACAACACTTTTTACAGGGGAGGAACTTTGCCCGCAATATAAATTTTAATACTCACCCACCTTAATACCCTGCTCAGGATGTGTTGTTTATAAAAGAGATCAAACATCAATTGCATTTCACCAAGTCTCTGTGTTTGTTTGTATTTCTTGTTCTAATTACAATAAACACTTACCTTACTACTCACCCACCTTAACTGACTACATCAACAAAAAACAATGGAAGAATTTCTGAAGTCTGTTGGTGCCACTATTAGGCTGAACTAAAACAATGAAGTACTGAAAGAACTATCAGCAACGAAAAAACAATGGTTAAATGTATTAGAATGAACAATGAAGTGCTCTTCATTTTTAACTGTCAATGTGCTATATTATAAGCTATTTCTGTGCATATCATTTATATCATGTTGTATTATTATTGTTGGCAAAGTTCCTGTGGGGAAAGTTCCCTATGGGTAAAGTTTCTTATGGGCAAAGTTCCTGTGGGGAAAGTTCCTTATGGGCAAAGTTCCTGTGGGGAAAGTTCCTTATGGGCAAAGTTCCTGTGGGGAAAGTTCCTTATGGGCAAAGTTCCTGTGGGGAAAGTTCCTTATGGGCAAAGTTCCTGTGGGGAAAGTTCCTTATGGGCAAAGTTCCCTATGGGCAAAGTTCCTTATGGGCAAAGTTCCTGTGGGGAAAGTTCCTTATGGGTAAAATTCCTATGGGGAAAGTTCCTTTTGGGCAAAGTTCCTGTGGGAAAGTTCCTTATGGGCAAAGTTCCTGTGTGGGAAAGTTCCTTTTGGGCAAAGTTCCTGTGGGGAAAAGTTCCTTATGGGCAAAGTTCCCTATGGGCAAAGTTCCTTATGGGCAAAGTTCCTGTGGGGAAAGTTCCTTATGGGCAAAGTTCCTGTGGGGAAAGTTCCTTATGGGCAAAGTTCCTGTGGGGAAAGTTCCTTATGGGCAAAGTCCTGTGGGGAAAGTTCCTTATGGGCAAAGTTCCTGTGGGGAAAGTTCCTTATGGGCAAAGTTCCTGTGGGGAAAGTTCCTTATGGGCAAAGTTCCTGTGTCAAAAGTTCCTTATGGGCAAAGTTCCTGTGGGGAAAGTTCCTTATGGGCAAAGTTCCTGTGGGGAAAGTTCCTTATGGGCAAAGTTCCTGTGGGGAAAGTTTCTTATGGGCAAAGTTCCTTATGGGCAAAGTTCCTTATGGGCAAAGTTCCTGTGGGGAAAGTTCCTTATGGGCAAAGTTCCGTACACCCACAAAGACAAAGTTGACCAAGAATTTGTTGAGTGAAATGATCAGAGAAGATGCCAGTAAGAATTAAGGTACCACAGATATTAAGATAATATGCCCAAGAATATTCCACAAAAATGTTCTTTTCACCAAAAGTTAAGAAAGGTCTGCAGTTACCCCTACAGGATGTAGAAACTCTGATTTTAATAAGAAAAGCTGTGACAAGTAAATGGGAAAATGAATTAAACAACTTGAGCCACAAGATTATATACAACATATTTATATCAAAGAGATCTCACAGTCATTCACAGATATATGGAAAATATATCGCGGAAGTCACACAACAAATATCATCACTGTATGACTGATTGACTGAGTTTGGTTTTACGCCACTTTTCGCAATATTCCAGCAACACCACGGTGGGGGACACCAGAAATGGGCTTCACACAATGTACCCATGTGGGGATTCGAACCCGGGTTTTTGGCGTGACGAGCCAACGCTTTAACCACTAGGCTACCCCACCGCCATCATCACTGTATAAAGGCTCACTGCAAAGAGACACACGCTTTGTTACTTGCACTGGTGCAACCCAATATTACAAAGTGCAACCTGGTTATTAGTCTAACTTGCACTAGGTGCAAGTAAATTTAAGTGGGTAAACCTCTGAATAAATAATCTAGATAATTCAATATTATATTTTTTCCTACATTACACATTGCAATAAAAGCGGTGAAACTGGAATTTGGCAGGAGCAACTAGGTTTTTAGGTTTTAGGACATTTCAGCCATAAAGATACATGCAAAATGAAGTTGGAAGTGGAGAAGCGGTTAAAGTGTTCACTCGTCACTCCAAATAGTGAAGTTTAATTCCCCACCTGGGTACAATGTGCGAAGCCAATTTCTGGTGTCACCATGATATTGCGGGAATATTGCTAAATCAACGTGAAACTAAAGTCTTTCACCACCCTGCAATATACAACATTCTGTAAAGTTTAAAACCCTACAAGGATGCTTGAAACACTGTAAGAATGTTTAAAATCCTGTAAGAATGCTTAAAACCCTACAAGAATGTTTAAAACACTGTAAGGATGTTTAAAACCCTACAAGAATGCTTAAAACGCTGTAAGAATGTTTAAACCCAACAAGAACGCTTAAAACTGTAAGAATGTTTAAAACCCTACAAGAGTGAGTGAGTGAGTTTAGTTTTACGCCACACTCAGCAATATTCCAGCTATATGGCGGCGGTCTGTAAATAATCTAGTCTGGACAAGACAATCCAGTGATCAACAGCATGAGCATCGATCTGCGCAATTGGGAACCGATGACATATGTCAACCAAGTCAGCAAGCCTGACCACCCGATCCCGTTAGTCGCCTCTTACGACAAGCATAGTCGCCTTTTATGGCAAGCACATGGGTTGCTGAAGACCTATTCTACCCCCGGCATCTTCACGGGTCAAACCCTACAAGAATGCTTAAAACGCTGTAAGAATGTTTAAAACCCTGCAAGAATGCTTAAAACGCTGTAAGAATGTTTAAAACCAGACAAGAATGCTTAAAACGCTGTAAGAATGCTTAAAACCCAACAAGAATGCTTAAAACGCTGTAAGAATGTGTAAAACCCTACAAGAACGCTTAAAACGCTGTAAGAATGTTTAAAACCCTACAAGAATGCTTAAATGGTATAAGAATGTTTAAAACCCTACAAGAATGTTTAAAACCCTTTAAGATTATGTTTAAAACCCTACAAGAATGTTTAAAACCCTAAAAGAATGTTTAAAACACTGTAAGATTATGTTTAAAACCCTACAAGAATGTTTAAACCCTACAAGAATGTTTAAAACCCTATGAGAAAATCAATACAAGCATAATAACTGTGGTCATCTTTGTAGGACGTTGATATTTTAAAGGTGAACTTGCAATCATTTAGGTAGATAGTAAGACAACATGCCTTGAACATCACTTGAACTAAATTATATTTTTGAATAAATATTTCTTTTATTGTTTCCTGTGGTTATATAAATCAGTCAGGGTACTTTGAACTCTTTGGTTCTTTACAGCCATTATAGAAAGTGTATATTCAATCAATACAGAACGTTATACAAACATGTATCTAGTGATTAATAACGGGAATATATCGCCAAAATACAGTAATCATGACGTCTTAGCTAAGATATATACCAACAAAACTGGCTTGAAAACTTTCTTTTTCTACAAAATGTGATTACTATGCATATTTTAAACCATACGTCTATACCGAGCATTATCTATCATGTGTCACGATAAAAAAAATTAGAGTAAGTTTAGCCTGTATTCGCTGCTCTTCACATGATTTGTGGATCGAAAAAGGTAGATATATGAAGATAAAAGATAGGTTATGTAAATCATGCAATATCAATGTCTTAGAAAATGAATATCACTTTCTGCTTGTATGTCCATTATATGATAAACTACGTAGAATGTACCTTAAAGAATTTTACTATGTCCATCCATCTATAGATAAATTTAATTCCTTATTAAATTGCAACAACCATCATATGATTCAGAATGTTGCTATGTTTATATATCACGCTATGAATCTCAGAAAGAATAACTGCCATTGAGCATCGTCGCAACGTTATACATGTATGAAAACATAATATCAATATCGTATATATAACTGTTCAACATTGTGCTTCTGTATTGTACTAAAGGCCTCTGGCCTTTGAGTATTGAACTAAAGATTGATAAAGATTGACGTCTTAGCTGTAAGGATTATACAATTATCACTTTCACCTTACACTGGTGTCTCAGAAAATTGCTATTTCCAAACGTACCTGTTGAGTTGAGCCTGAGCTCACAGGACAATCCAGAAAACTCCCTGGTGCACATACAAAAGCTCAAGCTACCATTGCGAAACACACAGGTCCCTCCATTATGACAGCCGTCACACATCACTGAAAAGACACATGTGCATACCCAGTTAACCCAAAACATTTTCGAAACATTTTCATAATGTTTCAAAATAGTTTTTCAAAAACATTTTTGTCAAAATGTTTTTGGAACGTTATAAAAATGTTTCACAACAAATCATAATGTTATTGAAATGTTTTTAAAATGTTATTCAAAAACGTCATGCTGTAACATGAGTGAAACTATTTCATAACATGTCATTGAAATATTTTTAAAACGTTGCAGAAATGTTGTGCACGAACATGTTTGATGAAATATTGTCATCACGTTTTAAAAACATTGTGCACACATTTATGCCATATCATACAAATAATGTCTAAATCTCTCAAAAATACTGAAAATGTTTTTGAAATGTTTTCAAAATGTTGTCCAAAAACGTCATGCTATAACGTGTTTGAAACCATTTCACAACATATTAGTGAGATGTTTTTAAAACGCTGCAGGAATGTTATGCAAGAACATGTTTAATGAAATATTGTCATTACGTTTTAAAAACTTTGTGCACACATTTATGCCATATCATACAAACAGTGTGCGAAATAGCCACTGGCCCGGTAGCCCATGTCTAGTAAAAATCCAGTCGGGCCAGTAAATCTCCACAGTCCCTGGCCCGACTGGCAAGTGAATTTTCATGGGATCATTTTGTAACTATATCACTCTCTCCAACTTGTTAATTTATAATACACTTTTAAATCATGCAAGATTATGGCCTGATGAAAATGTTCATCATATTAGCAGCTTAATGATGAAAGCCGTGCCATATCATATAAATAATTTGTAAATCTCTCAAGAACACAGAAAGTGTTTTTGAAATGTTTTCAAAATGTTATTCAAAAACGTCATGCTATAACATGGGTGAAACTATTTCACAACATATTAGTGAAATTTTTTTAAACACTGCAGAGATTATGCACGAACATAATCATACAAATAATGTGTGAATATCTCAAAAATACTGAAAATGTTTTTTGAAATGTTTTCAAAGTGTTGTTCAGAAACGTCATGCTGTAACATGGGTGAAACTATTTCATAACATATTAGTGAAATGTCTTTAAAACATTGCTGAAATGTTGTGCAAGAACATGTTTAATGAAATATTGTCATCACGTTTTAAAACACTGTTTCTGTTGTAACGTTTGTGTGACATAAACAGTACATACACTGCAATCACAAACAATTATCTCACTCAGCCACGTTCTAATGTATGACTTGTCATTAAAGTGCCTTAAAACGTTCCTGAAATGTTTTAGCCGGATCTGTCATCACATTTAAAATGTGTTTTTTTATTATGACTTGTTCTTAAAAGATTTTGAAATGATATCACACCTACACATTTTGATGACATTTTTAAAATGTTGCGACACAATGCCTTATTGTTACCGCGGGAAATGACGTCGGAATGACGTCACCCTTCACGTCATAATTTTGCACCCGCCATCTTAGTTGAAGTTCATTCAGGACCCTACCACCTTGTCATTCGACTCATGGTGCAGCAACTGGAACTGGATCATCGATGTGACCTCGGTTGCTGTGAGTTAATTTTGCAGTTTATGTACATTTTTCATGTTTATGTACATTTTGATATTCACTCGATTAAAATACTGTGTTACTCAAAAGTAGCGGGGTTTTGAGAAACGTGATTCAGTGTTATTAGGCTTCCAACAGAGAATCCCGGTGACAGTTTTTTTTCGACGATGTAAGACAAAAACGTAATTTTATTTTACTAACTTTGAGTGAAAAGGGATATATTTATCTATTTCACACAAAAAATATAAAGTGTTTCCTACAAAAATAGCGTTGATGATATGATCATTTCGGCGAAACTGTTGGTGATCTCCACATCAGGAATTTGTAAACTTTTCGCTCCGCCATGCGAGTGAGTGTTGTGATCACGTGGCTTCCTGTTTATATCTGGTATATTGCTTGTCACCAGCAGACGACAGATCTTACAGATTTTTTTGCTATATTTGGTTATATAGGCAATTGATTTGCATCTGAAGTGGTATTAACGATTTCGGGTAAATAATATTGATATTTTTTGCATCCGCCCTACCAGTGAAACTGTTTGTGCACTCCAATCGCGCACGTAATGCCCCGATAGAGCGCGAGCAATGTAATCGTCGAAATCACCAGAACATCGAATTCATCTCGCTTTGGATATATATTATATCGTTGTGAAGAATGTCTAAGAGAGTTTGCACCTAATTAATTTTATGTTACATAAAAGGATAATTAGGCTATCAAGAGCGGGCAAGATGTGCTCAAGCAGAGTTCAGTAAGGCGGTTAATGCCGCTATTACGTTCGGTTTTCGATTGTAAACGTTATGCACAAGCCAGTGGCCCTTATTGTTGTTAATTTTTTCCATGTTATTTCTGAAAGATATTTTATTAGTTTAACATTGCAGCTAATTTTCAATTTTTTAAACTATGACAATTTTGCTCGTTTAAGTCGTTGGAAAGTTGCGTCGATTTTATACCACAAAACTGGGGAATCGAAATAATTTCGAAATTAGTTTCTGATCCACCTGACTGTGGGATAGTTACTGGCTGTCATAGTGTGTGTATGTTATAAAAAACTATTTCTTAAAAGAAATGACAGATGCATTCTTGTTAATTAACACTAACTAAACTAAATGTTAAATGACCATCTGCTGGGTTGTCGGATTGTTGTTTGTCCACTATTACCGCATGTTTTCAATTGCTATATTGAAGCAGAGACGATATAATAAATAATATTTAGTATATGGTCTCTTATTAAGAGTACTGTGTTTACACTGTGTATTCTTAAATTTTCCCCAGACAAATTAATTGATTCCAATATGGCTGAAAGCGCTCTATGGTGTTCGTGTAAGTATATTTTTGAAAACATCCCAACTGATTCTAGATTCATTGGCAACGTTTCAGAATTATCATTAGCGATTTCATGTAAAAGTGATATCAGTGTTCATTAATATGTTACTTGTTAAATTCAATACTCCCAGTAATTATCCGATTTTCACATTTCAAAACATACAGCAAATAACGCTGTGAATCACGATTTCGTACTGTGTCAAAAATGGCGACATTTTCGATGAAGCCTATTTTGAAAGGTCATTTTCAGCACTTGAGCTTCGTATAAAATACGAGTGGATGGTATCAAGAAACAGGAGATTTCCTGCAGAATTCGAAAATGTGAAGTGTATTTGTGTACGTGGGATATTTTGATTTTCATTGGACTTCAAAGTGAGGGATGAAGGGGAAGGACATATATGTCCCTGTGGCATCCAGGGGGTTAAGAAACTATCATGTATCACACTGCATGTAGACATTAACATAGATCTATCACACTCCCTGTTGACATAACTTAGATCTATCACGCATAGATCTATCACACTCCCTGAAGACATTAACATAGATCTATCACGCTCCCTGAAGACATCAACATAGATCTATCACCCTCTCTGTAGACATTAACATAGATCTTTCACACTCTCTGTAGACATTAACATAGATCTATCATGCTCCCTGAAGACATTAACATAGATCTATCACCCTCCCTGAAGACATCAACATAGATCTATCACACTCTCTGTAGACATCAACATAGATCTATCACCTTCTCTGTAGACATTAACATAGATCTATCACCCTCCCTGAAGACATTATCATAGATCTATCACACTCCCTGAAGACATTAACATAGATCTATCACGCTCCCTGAAGACATTAACATAAATCTATCACGCTCCCTGAAGACATTAACATAGATCTATCACGCTCTCTGTAGACATTAACATAGATCTATCACCCTCCCTATAGACATTAACATAGATCTATCACCCTCCCTATAGACATTAACATAGATCTATCACGCTCCCTGAAGACATTAACATAGATCTATCACACTCCCTGAAGACATTAACATAAATCTATCACGCTCTCTGTAGACATTAACATAGATCTATCACCCTCCCTATAGACATTAACATAGATCTATCACACTCTCTGTAGACATTAACATAGATCTATCACCCTCCCTGAAGACATTAACACAGATCTATCACGCTCCCTGAAGACATTAACACAGATCTATCACGCTCCCTGAAGACATTAACATAAATCTATCACGCTCCCTGAAGACATTAACATAGATCTATCACGCTCCCTGAAGACATTAACATAGATCTATCACCCTCCCTGAAGACATCAACATAGATCTATCACGCTCTCTGTAGACATTAACATAGATCTATCACCCTCCCTATAGACATTAACATAGATCTATCACGCTCCCTGAAGACATTAACATAGATCTATCACACTCCCTGAAGACATTAACATAAATCTATCAAGCTCTCTGTAGACATTAACATAGATCTATCACCCTCCCTATAGACATTAACATAGATCTATCACACTCTCTGTAGACATTAACATAGATCTATCACCCTCCCTGAAGACATTAACACAGATCTATCACGCTCCCTGAAGACATTAACATAAATCTATCACGCTCCCTGAAGACATTAACATAGATCTATCACCCTCCCTGAAGACATCAACATAGATCTATCACGCTCTCTGTAGACATTAACATAGATCTATCACCCTCCCTATAGACATTAACATAGATCTATCACCCTCCCTATAGACATTAACATAGATCTATCACACTCTCTGTAGACATAACATAGATCTATCACACTCTCTGTAGACATTAACATAGATCTATCACACTCTCTTTAGACATTAACATAGATCTATCATGCTCCCTGAAGACATTAACATAGATCTATCACACTCTCTGTAGACATTAACATAGATCTATCACCCTCTCTGTAGACATTAACATAGATCTATCACCCTCCCTATAGACATTAACATAAATCTATCACCCTCTCTGTAGACATTAACATAAATCTATCACCCTCTCTGTAGACATTAACATAAATCTATCACGCTCTCTGTAGACATTAACATAGATCTATCACCCTCTCTGTAGACATTAACATAGATCTATCACCCTCTCTGTAGACATTAACATAGATCTATCACACTCTCTGTAGACATCAACATAGATCTATCACTCTCCCTGAAGACATTAACATAAATCTATCACCTTCCCTGAAGACATTAATATAGATTTATCACACTCCATCAGTAGACATTAACATACTGTAAACCGTATCGCGAAGGTTTTATTCTCGCACATAATATTTCACCACGAAAATTTATACACAGCATATAAACCTTTCATTCATTCACTCAAGTTTGAAGACAGAAATCTACGGGAATCTTAAAATGACGACTGATAGTAGCATAAAGAATCGTACTTAACTGTCGCTGTAATGGATTTCCCAAATCATGTCCCAACATGTTCTATTTTGACCAATAGTAGTGACAGATGGTTTGATACAAACAGATTACCATGAAACGACTCGGAAAGAAATAATACAGCAGTATTTTATTTATTCATTAAGATTTTATTTATATTTATTCCTACATATCACGAAATGAAATCACAAAGTCTGGAACTCCAGGTGTCTTAGGGGTAGGTGCTTTCTTTAATCACATTCGCAATGCCATCGTCAGATCATCAGAATTTGGAACATAAGACTGATGTGTTTTTCATCTCTTTATATAGTATACTAGTACCATCACGATATCTCACTTCCTAAGTACTTAATACTACCTTGAGTAAAAGTATTACTGTATACATCGCGCAGGTAGGGATTTCCTGTGAGTAAGCAATACACGCTGTCGGACAGGTTAAGCCACTCTGGTTGTTTTCATTGATATTAGTGGCGGCCTAAGAGACAGCTGGTAGTTCCGGCAATTACTGATTGCACGAAAAATTGACTGCGCGATGTCGAAACTGTCAATTCCGCGAAATTTGCACCAAGCGAAAAAAAGTATGTTTACAGTAGATCTGATTCAAGCTCCCTGAAGACATTAACATAGATCTACAAATACTTACCATAAACTGTGCGAGAGCTGTTACGACAGTATTTGCCCCAGTAACCTTGGTTACAAACACATCTGTTGTTTGAACAGTAACCATTTCCACACATGGAATTGTTCATACACTGGCCTGTAGTATCTGAAAGTATTCCGTTTCCATCATTAGTACATGTACATTATATTTGTCTTTAGCAACATGAATATGTAAGAACTCGAAAGGTGGACACAACAGCCATGTATGTTACACTCACCGGGAGGTGGATGCAACAGCCACGTATGCTACGTTCACCAGGAGGTGGACACAACAGCCATATATTTTACACTTACTGGGAAGTGGACACAACAGCCATGTATGTTACACATACTTGGGAGGTGGATACATCAGCCACGTATGTTACGCTTACTGGGAGGTGGACACAACAGCCATGTGTGTTACACTTACTGGGAGGTGGACACAACAGCCACGTATGGTACACTTACTGGGAGGTGGACACAACAGCCATGTATGTTACACTTACTGGGAGGTGGACACAACAGCTATGTATGTTACAATTACTGGGGAGGCGGACACAACAGCCATGTATGTCACACTCTCAGGGAGGTGGACACAACAGCCATGTATGTTACACTCACAGGGAGGTGGACACAACAGCCATATACGTTACAATTTCTGGGGAGGTGGACACAACAGCCATGTATGTTACACTCTCAGGGAGGTGGACACAACAGCCATGTATGTTACACTTACTGGGAGGTGGACACAACAGCCATGTATGTTACACTTACTGTGATAGTAGACAGGTTGTTGACAAGTGTGACCACATCCATTTGAGCAGCACTTCTCTACTCCCGTACAGTTTGCATCAGATGTGCAGGCCTGGACACAACAGCCATGCAGTCCTCCACACAGATGCCCATCATTGTGCTGTTCATCGGTGGGCACATACCTGTCTTGTCTGCAATGGTATATATCGATGAGCTTCTTACCTGGCACCATGAAAGCTTATGATATTCAGATTTAGCATTTAAATCTCTCTCTTCTTAGTTTTTATTTTACATAAGTATACGGTTCGTTTTTCCCAACAAAACTTCAACAGCCGTGTATGTTACACTTACTGGAAGGTGGACACTACAGCCATGTATGGTACACTTAATAGGAGGTGGACACAACAGCCATGTGTGTTACACTTACTGGCCGGTGGACACAACAGCCATATATATTACAATCACTGGGAGGTGGACAGAACAGCCATGTATATTACAAGCACATGGGATATATAACAAGTTTTATGGATAACAACTTCTTTATTTTCGTGAGTGCGACGTTTCGATACAGATTCTTGTACCGTTGTCAAGCAAGAGTGGTACATGAAGTGTAGGATATATATGCAGCTCCTACACTTCATGTACCACTCTTGCTTGACAACGGCAATACATTAATCTGTATCAAATCTAGACTCAGCATCGCCTACCATAAAGTTGTTATCCATAAAGCTCGTTATATATTGTACGTCTCAACTTCTAAAATGCCACTCAAACAAGTTAAGCACAGGGGAGGTGAACACAACAGCCATGTATGTTACACTTACTGGCCGGTGGACACAACAGCCATATATATTACACTCACTGGGAGGTGGACAGAACAGCTATGTATATTACACTTACTGGGAGGTGAACACAACAGCCATGTATGTTACACTCACTGGGAGGTGGACAGAACAGCCACGTATTTTACACTTACTGGGAGGTGGACACAACAGCCATGTATGTGTGGTCGTTTAGGATATTTGGGGTAAGGTTTGAGTTCTTTTGGGGTTGGGTTAATATAACATGGGTTATTAGTTTGTTCTCGGCTGATATGCTGATATGCATAGCCACAACACACCCAGCAGGTTCGCGTGGTCTGCTTGGCATGTGCAGCACATGCACTGCCTGCCTCTAGCCCTATAAAGGGAGTAGCTTCACAGCACTCCTTGTCTTTGAGTCCACTGGTTCACTAGTGGTGAGGACATTTATTTCAGTTGCTTGAGTCCTGGTAATCCAGACCAAGTAGATAGGCTTTTTGATAACCTAGGAAATTAATATATAAATTTTATTTGTTTTGGACATAGGCTCTGATTTCAGAACCATGTCTCATTACGGTTTGGGCTTAGGTTAGATTTTTAGGTATAGATTAGGTTAGGTTGTTAGCTTAGGATAGGTTTAGGTTTTTGTAAATAAATTATTCAGTTTGTCTTTTCTATTTGTTATGTTTTTACCAGCAATGAGGCCTGATTCATAGAGCCTATTTGACCTTGGCTGCTTTATCATCACCACATAAAACAAGAGTCATCAGAAGATGACATATTCCGCTGGCCCCCACATCTCTGTAAGAACAAATCAGCTGACAGTTACTTAAAGTCCAGCTTGATTTTAGACTAAGTGCAAATCGTTACCATGGAAATTATGAAAAACATAAATGACAAAAATCTGCAAATAGCAAAAGGCACCACTTTGGGATCTGCCTAACATATCTGCCAAGTTTTCTTGAAAGATATTAAGAAGGTTTCGAGTTGTGCTCCAGAAATGAAACCTACCCCTCCTTTTTGAGACTAAGTCCGAATCGTTTCCATGGAAACCAAGAAAATAATAAATCACAAAAATCTGTAAATAGCAAAAGGCACCACTTTAGGTTCTGTTTGACATATCTACCGGTTTCTGATTTATGCTCCGGAAATGAAGCCCACCCCTCCCTTTAAGACAAGTCCAAAACGTTTCCATGGAAACTGAGAAAAATAAAAATGCCAAAAATCTGTAAATAGCAAAAGGCACCACTTCAGGATCTGCCTCACATATCTGCCAAGTTTTGTTGAAAGATATATTAAGAAGTTTTCACGTTATGCTCCAGAAACGAAACCCAACCCTCCCTTTTGAGACTAAGTTCAAATCATTTCCATGGAAACCTAGAAAAATAAAAATGACAAAAATCTGTAAATAGCAAAAGGCATCACTTCAAGATCTGTCTCATATATCTCCCAAGTACTGTTAAAAGATATTAAACGGTTTTCAAGTTGTGCTCCGGAAACGAAACCCACCCCTCCTTTTTGAGACTAAGTTTGATATATTCTGTTTGATATATCTACCATGTTTTGCAGAAAAATACTGAACGGTTTCTGAGTTATGCTCCGGAAACGAAGCCCACCCCTCCCTTTAAGACTGAGCCCAAAAAGCTTCCATGGAAACTGAGAAAAATGAAAATGACAAAAATCTGTAAATAGCAAAAGGCACCACCTTAGGTTCTGTTTGATATATCTACAAATTCTTGTTGACAAATATCCAATGGTCTTGGAGTTATGCTCCGGAAACAAAATGATTACGGACGGATGGACAGACAGACGAGGCGACGACTATATCCCCGCATTACATGCCGGGGGGATAAAAAGTACACAATGCAAGGTCCTAAACCCTACTATACCAACTTCAACTGTCACTGGGCAGAGAAGCCTATTACATATGTTACACTTACTGGGAGGTGGACACAACAGCCATGTATGTTACACTTGCTGGGAGGTGGACACAACAGCCATGTAAGCTACACTTACTGTGAGACATTCTTGACTGGCACTGGTATCCTGTGTAACCATTGGAACACATACAGAAGCTCAAACCATTACTCTGCAGACAACTTCCTCCATTGTAGCATGTGATGGAACATGAACCTGAAAACATTTGTGACAGCAGGAATTGGAATCTTTGTGGACATTAGTCTAGTAATGGTGCTTAAATAGCATTTTGACACGCCTGATTGGTCAAATCATTATCCAGAGATTGCCATCAGTTTCTTTTGTGCAATTATCATCATATGACCGAGAAAACACATACCTCTCGCAGACATTACAAAACTAGAAGACCCTTTACAAATATGTGACTGAAAGTATTCATATCTGAGTATAGTTCATTCACAGAAACACATTTTTTTTACTCTGCCACAGTAATGACAACCTGAAAACAATGTCCATGGAATTGGAATAACTGATATCAGTTAAACCATGGAACCTGAATAACTGATATCAGTTAAATATGGAAACTGAAACTGATATCAGTTAAAACATGGAATCTGAATAACTGATATCAGTAAAACATGGACTCTGAATAACTGATATCAGTTAAACCATGGAACCTGAATAACTGATATCAGTTGAATATGGAAACTGAAACTGATATCAGTTAAAACATGGAATCTGAATAACTGATATCAGTAAAACATGGAACCTGAATAACTGATATCAGTTAAATATGGAAACTGAAACTAATGTCAGTTAAAACATGGAATAAAAATAACAGATATCAGTTAAACATGGACTCTGAATAACTGATATCAGTAAAACATGGACTCTGAATAACTGATATCAGTTAAACATGGAAACTGAATAACAGATATCACTTTAACTTGGAGTCTGAATAACTGATATCAGTTAAATATGGAAACTGAATAACTGATATCAGTTAAACCATGGAACCTGAATAACTGATATCAGTTAAATATGGAAACTGAAACTAATGTCAGTTAAAACATGGAATCAGAATAACAGATATCAGTTAACATGGACTCTGAATAACTGATATCAGTTAAATAATGGAAACTGAAACTGATATCAGTTAAAACATGGAATCAGAATAACAGATTTCAGTTAAACATGGACTCTGAATAACTGATATCAGTAAAACATGGACTCTGAATAACTGATATCAGTCAAACCATGGGACCTGAATAACTGATATCAGTTAAACATGGAAACTGAAACTGATATCAGATAAATATGGAAACTGAATAACTGATATCAGTTAAACCATGGAACCTGAATAACTGATATCAGTTAAACATGGAAACTGAAACTGATATCAGTTGAATATGGAAACTGAAACTGATAACAGTTAAACATGGACTCTGAATAACTGATATCAGTTAAATATGGAAACTGAATAACTGATATCAGTTAAACCATGGAACCTGAATAACTGATATCAGTTAAACATGGAAACTGAAACTGATATCAGTTGAATATGGAAACTGAAACTGATATCAGTTAAAACATGGAATCAGAATAACTGATATCAGTTAAATATGGAAACTGAATAACTGATATCAGTTAAACCATGGAACCTGAATAGCTGATATCAGTTAAACATGGAAACTGAAACTGATATCAGTTGAATATGGAAACTGAAACTGATATCAGTTAAAACATGGAATCAGAATAACTGATATCAGTAAAACATGGACTCTGAATAACTGATAACAGTTAAACATGGACTATGAATAACTGATATCAGTTAAATATGGAAACTGAATAACTGATATCAGTTAAACCATGGAACCTGAATAACTGATATCAGTTGAATATGGAAACTGAAACTGATATCAGTTAAAACATGGAATCAGAATAACTGATAACAGTTAAACATGGACTCAGAATAACTGATAACAGTTAAACATGGACTATGAATAACTGATATCAGTTAAACATGGAAACTGAATAGATTGTTCCATAGATATCAGGTACCATGTCAGATTGATATATGTCACCAGCATTTACGTTTCTTGTCAAATGGATCGCTATCACAAACACCGTAGACATTAACATATATAAAATTATCTAATACGCCATTGTTGACATAAATAGATATACATCATACTTACTGTTGGTTGAATGCGAGCTGTTCTGACAACGGGGACCCCAGTAACCTTGGTTACAAACACATCTGTTGTTGCTACAGTAACCATTTCCACACATGGAGTTGTTCATACAGTGGCGTGCAGAATCTGGAAGTATTCCGTTTCCATCATGAGTAAAGTTATATACTTACAAGAAAATCTAAGAACTGAGAGGGTGGACACAACAGCCATGTATGTTGACACTCATTAGTAGTGATGACACCCAGGTCACACACACTGGTAGGGATGACACCCAGGTCACACACACTGGTAGGGATGACACCCAGGTCACACACACTGGTAGGGATGACACCCAGGTCACACACACTGGTAGGGATGACACCCAGGTCACACACACTGGGAGGGGATGACACACCAGGTCACCCACACACACTGGTAGGGATGACACCCAGGTCACACACACTGGTAGGGATGACACCCAGGTCACACACACTGGTAGGGATGACACCCAGGTCACACACACTGGTAGGGTTGACACCCAGGTCACACACACTGGTAGGGATGACACCCAGGTCACACACACTGGTAGGGTTGACACCCAGGTCACACACACTGGTAGGGATGACACCCAGGTCACACACACTGGTAGGGATGACACCCAGGTCACACACACTGGTAGGGTTGACATCCAGGTGCAAGGTCAATCTCTTAGTCTTACTGACATAACAGTCCTATGACATAACATGCAACAACTGGACATATTTGATCTGCATCAATACTTAATGTTGTCTCACAAGTCATAAGCATATTACCTGTTCCATTGTAACCGCGGGTTATCACACGCCAACAATAAGACCAGTTGTCTTGACGGTGTTTGTGAAATTTAGGAACATCATCTGCTGAGCTGCAGTGGGTGCACTTGAAAACAATAGCTTGTAGCCAATAACAGCTGCTCCTGATGCTTGAAGCCTGTATAACAGCAATAACACATCAAATAACAGTATGAAACAACACAACTCTCGGTCAACTGGGTATTCTTGTAAACAGACAGCACTTTCACACCCACGTCCTGCAAAAGCATTTTTGATACCTTGCAAAAAGAATATTACATCTCCTGTAAGCAACATCCCCTCCTGAAACCAACAGTTTGATGTTTGGTCTGAATAATTAAAAAGAAAGCAGTCATAACTGCATGTGCACAGAAACCTCAGATTATGGTAATATTCTATCAGGCCACAGTCATTCGTATAAGCTGGTGATGCACATGATGTCATCAACTGCCATTACTCTGTCAATTAATTCTCCATGTCACAAGTGTCTTCAAAGTCCATCTACTGACATACACTAATTGTACAAAAAACTATGAAAAGTTTGATGTAGTTCACATATGTCTACATTAACAGTCCCCTTTCTGATAAAACTGGCTGTGACATCTCTAAAATGAGCTAACTGTACTGTTTCAGTAAACACATTCTTGACGAAACATTTAAATATGATATAATCTTGCTTGTTTGTTGATAATTTATTGCCATAAATCCTTGTAAAGTTTCAACCATAACATTCAAGAAAGAGTGGTGTGGTATAATGAATAAGTTTAAAATATGAATGTGGTCAAACATTTAACAGCTAATCAAAAACCATGTTGAAATGTTAAGGGGTTTAATGTGTCATCCCACACCAATGCCAGGTGACCACAGAAATATTAAGTTCCATTAAACAATCAAGACATTCTACAAATGTTCTTGTACTATCTCCACCGTGATGTTGCTGGAATATTGCTAAAAGCAGCGTAAAACCAAACTCAGTCAGTCAGTCTTGTATTATCTACGCCGTGATGTTGCTGGAATATTGCTAAAAGCGGCGTAAAACCAAACTCAGTCAGTCTTGTATTATCTCCGCTGTGATGTATTTCTTGTGTCTCCCGCCGTGATGTTGCTGGAATATTGCTAAAAGCGGCTTAAAACCAAACTCAGTCAGTCAGTCCGCCGTGATGTTGCTGGAATATTGCTAAAAGCGGCGTAAAACAAAACTCAGTCAGTCAGTCTTGTATCATTTCCGCCGTGATGTTGCTGGAATATTGCTAAAAGCGGCGTAAAACCAAACTCAGTCAGTCAGTCTTGTATTATCTCCGCCGTGATGTTGCTGGAATATTGCTAAAAGCGGCGTAAAACAAAACTCAGTCAGTCAGTCTTGTATTATCTCCGCCGTGATGTTGCTGGAATATTGCTAAAAGCGGCGTAAAACCAAACTCAGTCAGTCAGTCTTGTATTATCTCCGCCGTGATGTTGCTGGAATATTGCTAAAAGCGGCGTAAAACCAAACTCAGTTAGTCAGTCTTGTATTATCTGCAGGATTTCTGAAAAAAAATATTTTACAAGTTTCTTTCAAGTTTGTGCAATAATTTGATAATAAAAGAATTATTACTAAAATCATAGAAGCAGAATTAAATTCTTCAAAAAGTAAATACTTGTACTTACATCACACCTGTAACTTCGACCTTGGCAAGATTGGGTATATCCTTAAACCTCTGAGTCAACTGTAACAGAAGCCTACTGTAAATACACAATGTAGAATACCCATAGAACACACTAATCCCCCCAGTCAAACATACAGGCAGTATAGTGTATGTACACACAGATTGTCATACTAATAACATCAGTGTTCTACCCTGTGACTACACAAAGAATGCCACACTTACAGCGTTGGTGATGTTGCGGACAAGGCTTCTGTACTCGGCAGAGGAGGTGTCATTGAAGACTTGGTGCCACCCCATGAACAACTCAAAGCGTCCCATCACAACTGCTGCTGGGTCTGGGACTGAAACTAGAACACCTCTCATGTAACATCACACTAGGACACATCCCATGTAGCATCACACTAAAACACCTCACATGTAGCATCACACTAGAACACCTCCCATGTAACATCACACTAGGACACCTCCCATGTAACATCACACTAGGACACCTCCCATGTAACATCACACTAGGACACCTCCCATGTAACATCACACTAGGACACCTCCCATGTAACATCACACTAGAACACCTCCCATGTAACATCACACTAGAACACCTCCCATGTAACATCACACTAGGACACCTCCCATGTAACATCACACTAGGACACCTCCCATGTAGCATCACACTAGGACAAGCTCCCATGTAACATCACACGACAGGACCTGCCCAACATCACACTAGGACACCTCCCATGTAACATCACACTAGGACACCTCCCATGTAACATCACACTAGGACACCTCCCATGTAGCACCACACTAGGACAACTCCCATGTAACATCACACTAGGACACCTCCCATGTAACATCACACTGGGAACACCTCCCATGTAACATCGCTGACTAGAACACCTCCCATGTAACATCACACTAGGACACCTCCCATGTAGCATCACACTAGGACACCTCCCATGTAACATCACACTAGAACACCTCCCATGTAACATCACAATAGAACACCTCCCATGTAACATCACACTACTAGACACCTCCCATGTAACATCACACTGGGACACCCCATGTAAGCATCACACTAGGGACACCTCCCATGTAACATCACACTAGAACACCTCCCATGTAACATCACACTAGAACACCTCCCATGTAACATCACACTAGGACACCTTCCATGTAACATCACACTAGGACACCTCCCATGTAACATCACACTAGGACACCTCCCATGTAACATCACACTAGAACACCTCCCATGTAACATCACACTAGGACACCTCGGGTGCTCCATGTAACATCACACTAGAACACCTCCCATGTAACATCACACTAGAACACCTCCCATGTAACATCACACTAGAACACCTCCCATGTAACATCACACTAGGACACCTCCCATGTAACATCACACTAGGACACCTCCCATGTAACATCACACTAGAACACCTCCATGTAACATCACACTAGGACACCTCCCATGTAACATCACACTAGGACACCTCCCATGTAACATCACACTAGAACACCTCCCATGTAACATCACACTAGGACACCTCCCATGTAACATCACACTAGGACACCTCCCATGTAGCATCACACTAGGATACCTCCCATGTAACATCACACTAGAACACCTCCTCCCATGTAACATCACACTAGGACACCTCCCCATGTAACATCACACTAGGACACCTCCTCATGTAACATCACACTAGAACACATCCCATGTAACATCACACTAGAACACCTCCCATGTAACATCACACAAGAACGGTTGTGTGTGGGGACTGCTGTGTGTGAGGACAGATGTGTGTGGGGACTGATGTGTGTGAGAACTGTTATGTGTGTGGGGGCCTGTTGTGTGAGAACTGTTAGAGGGGATGTGGGGATGTGAGAACTGGTTGATGTGGGGCCTGTTGTGTGAGAACTGTTGTGTGTGTGGGGATGTGTGACATCTATTTTTAAGATGTGAGAAGAATTGTGTGTGAGGACTGTTGTGTGAGAACTGTTGTGTGTGTAACCTATGTGTCCACAATTGTTGCAGAGCCCACTGGGTTGTTTAGATGGGAAATATCGTTTCATAGTTTTCTAAGTGTATACAAAACAACTATTGCAAACACTTACCTGAACAGTCAGTGGGTCTCATGCTGCTCTTACTGTGTCCAGGTAGAATCCCACCAGTACTTGTGTCTGCACAATAGCACTTGCGAGAGTTCAAATTGTCCATACTGATCTCACACTGGACTGAGTTGAAGCCTTCATTGGTGCACTCCCTCTGGGGAAGCATCTGGCTGGTGGAGTCCTGCAAGAGGGTTTTCAGCTTCTGGATATTGAAAATAGTTCTCAGGGAGTTGAGAGTGGCATTCCTGCTGTCGGTAGTGTTCAGCATATAGGTGATGTAGCTGAACAGCCTCTGTTGACGCTGACAGTCAGTCAGGCTCACTGCAAGGAATAGTTGTCAATAAAATGAAATTATGGGTGGAAATAACCCTTAAAATTGCTAGTTTATTCAAGGCACAGTGGCACATGTAAAATTACTTGCCTTGATAATTTTTCCACTATACCGGTCGATTTTCTTGCTGATATTTTAAACAGACAACATAATTAACATTGGAAAGTCAACTGCCTGACAGAAAAAAAACATTGCACTGGGACGTCGGGCAATGGGTTATTTCCACGCCTGTGAAAGCATGGTCAGCTGAGTGCGAAATCACTCATCACTGTTTTGTTAGAAGCACAAAGATTCTTAAAGGCTCTTCCTCAGTCTACACACCTGGAGCTGCTCCAGGGTTTTCACAGATGACACCATTGTGAGTGTAGGGGCACTGGCAGAGCTGACCCCCAGCAATGTCTCCAACACATGTTGCAGTGACCGCGCCGAAAAGTGTGCACAGATCCAAGTTACTGGCAGCCTCCTTCAGTTTAGTACAAACAGAATCTGAAACAAGAGTTTAGTTAAAAGCTTATTTTGTCATGTGTATACTTCCCCCCATACTTCAGACCCAGAGAGGCTCTCTTCAGTGATATGGTCTCTCCCTATACTTCAGACCCAGAGAGGTTCTTCAATGATATGGTCTCTCCCTATACTTCAGACCCAGAGAGGTTCTTCAGTGATATGGTCTCTCCCTATACTTTAGACCCAGAGAGGCTCTCTACAGTGATATGGTCTCTCCCTATACTTCAGACCCAGAGAGGTTCTCTTCAATGATATGGTATCTCCCTATACTTCAGACCCAGAGAGGCTATCTTCAATGATATGGTCTCTCCCTATACTCCGGACCCAGAGAGGCTCTCTATAGTGATACGGTCTCTCCCTATACTTCAGACCCAGGGAGGTTCTCTTCAATGATATGGTCTCTCCCTATACTTCAGACCCAGGGAGGTTCTCTTCAATGATATGGTCTCTCCCTATACTTCAGACCCAGAGAGGCTCTTCAGTGATATGGTCTCTCCCTATACTTCAGACCCAGAGAGTCTCTTCAGTGATATGGTCTCTCCCTATACTTCAGACCCAGAGAGGTTCTTCAATCATACGGTCTCTCCCTATACTTCAGACCCAGAGAGGTTCTTCAATGATATGGTCTCTCCCTATACTTCAGACCCAGAGAGTCTCTTCAGTGATATGGTCTCCCCTATACTTCAGACCCAGAGGCCTCCTGTGTCAGTGATCTCTCCTATACTTCAGACCCAGAGAGGGTTCTTCAGTGATATGGTCTCCCCTATACTCTTCAGACCCAGAGTCTCTCTTCCAGTGATATGGTCTCTCCCTATACTTCAGACCCAGAGAGGTTCTTCAATGATATGGTCTCTCCCTATACTTCAGACCCAGAGAGTCTCTTCAGTGATATGGTCTCCCCCTATACTTCAGACCCAGAGAGTCTCTTCAGTGATACGGTCTCTCCCTATACTTCAGACCCAGAGAGGTTCTTCAGTGATATGGTCTCCCCCTATACTTCAGACCCAGAGAGTCTCTCTTCAGTGATATGGTCTCTCCCTATACTTCAGACCCAGAGAGGCTCTTCAGTGATATGGTCTCTCCCTATACTTCAGACCCAGAGAGGTACTTCAATGATATGGTCTCTCCCTATACTTCAGACCCAGAGAGGCTCTCTTCAGTGATATGGTCTCCCCCTATACTTCAGACCCAGAGAGGCTCTCTTCAGTGATATGGTCTCCCCCTATACTTCAGACCCAGAGAGGCTCTCTTCAGTGATATGGTCTCCCCTATACCTTCCAGACCCAGAGGCTCTCTTCAATGATATGGTCTCTCCCTATACTTCAGACCCAGAGAGGTTCTTCAGTGATATGGTCTCTCTCTATACTTCAGACCCAGAGAGTCTCTTCAGTGATATGGTCTCTCCCTATACTTCAGACCCAGAGAGGTTCTTCAGTGATATGGTCTCTCCCTATACTTCAGACCCAGAGAGTCTCTTCAGTGATATGGTCTCTCCCTATACTTCAGACCCAGAGAGGCTCTTCAGTGATATGGTCTCTCCCTATACTTCAGACCCAGAGAGTCTCTTCAGTGATATGGTCTCTCCCTATACTTCAGACCCTAGAGGCTCTCTTCAGTGATATGCTCAATTCCTATACTTCAGACCCAGAGAGGTTCTTCAATGATATGCTCAATTCCTATACTTCAGACCCAGAGAGGCTCTCTTCAGTGATATGGTCTCTCCCTATACTTCAGACCCAGAGAGTCTCTTCAATGATATGGTCTCTCCCTATACTTCAGACCCAGAGAGGTTCTTCAGTGATTACGGTCTCTCCCTATACTTCAGACCCAGAGAGGCTCTCTTCAATGATATGGTCTCTCCCTATACTTCAGACCCAGAGAGGTTCTTCAATGATATGGTCTCTCCCTATACTTCAGACCCAGAGAGGTTCTTCAGTGATATGGTCTCTCCCTATACTTCAGACCCAGAGAAGCTCTCTTCAATGATATGGTCTCTCCCTATACTTCAGACCCAGAGAGGTTCTTCAGTGATCTGGGTCTCCCTATACGCTCTCATCCCCAGAGAGGTTCTCTGCACCATAAAACAAGAGAGCGCACCCCATTCCTTTTAAATGTGTCGAGTAGAAGCCCAGACCAATTTTATTTCTTGTTTTATAGATTTTTGTCCTCAGAAAACCTAAAAGGCAAGAGGGGAAAAAATAAAATAAAATCACTAGTCAAAGTACTATTTCTTCTAAATACTCAAAGTATGGTTCCTTTTAGCAATTTATGAAGTGTATATGGGGCAAAAACAATCTAAAAACAATCTTGTATGTTTACATTTTTGGCCAAAAAACATTAGGATTTCATTTTTTGAGTGGGGAAAATTAATTTTTATGTTTTTTCTTATTCTTGAAAAGTTATAACAGGCGGATCCGTAAAACAAGAAATAAAATTGGTCTGGCATCATATTCCAAAATATATCTCAAATACTTCATTGTACCATAAAGGTTAATGCTGAAACTTGTAAGTACAACTTACTTTATGATATGATGACTATACGAAAGGTCTGAAATACCTTTATTCTTGACTTTCTTTAACAAAGAAATGCAAAATACCTGATATCAAATATGCTATAAAAGCAAAAGGAACAAGTTTGAAGCATAGCTGATATGTATACAAAGTCTCATGAAAAACTATTAAAAGTATAAGAACTATGCTCCTGATGTTAACCCTTCCCTCATTTGGATCTGACTGGAACCTATTACTATGAAATTAAACAAAACAAGAATTTCAATAATCCCTGATTAGCAAAAGGCACCTGTTCACTGCATGTCTGAAGTGTATACCAAGTTTCATAAAAACAACATTAAACATTTTAGGAGTAAAACTTCAGAAATAGAGACTGTTTTATGTCCCTCAAGCTTCATTTGGGCGGATGATAAAAACAGATACAGATTTCATTAACTTGTACCTTTATTGCTTGTAATCTATTTCTAAAGAAACACTATCCCTGTTGAGCCAGCCCCACGAGTCTATTCTTTGTTTATTTGTGATTATATGCAACACATAGCAATACCTGCCAGTGTGTACTTAACCTTGTCAACAACAGGTGTTTATAACATTCTACCTGTTCAGTGTAAATACATTTGGTATATATAGGAACAAATTCTTTCTAAAGTTGATACCAGAAAAAACCTCTATTTGTTAAAGCAGCTATTTGTTACTTTTTTCTGAGCATTCATAAGTTATTATTTATTATTTATCTATTTATTTTTATTATTATAGGATATTTATATAGCGCACATATCCACGCAACTAGTGCATGCTCAAGGCGCTGATTTTTTTCCCTACTGTCAAACATGTTCCCAATATATCACAATACGTATCGCCAATACAGTACCTGAAATACATGTACCTGAATTGCAATACATTGCAATACAATTTATTTGCCAATACACAGTCCAGTTTGTAAGGTCTTCACAAGTGCAAACAAATAACATCTGTTCAGCGACACTTACCTCCACAGTTTGTTCCATAGTAACCACGTGGACACACACAGGCAGCGTTGCCATTTGGTCCTACCACACAGGTTCGTCCAGGTCCACAGAATACTGTTGCACAGTCATCTGCGTTAGGAAGGTGATAAGAAGAAGATGAGAAAACCCAGCATTTCAAGCCATGTATAACCC